CGATGCCTTTGAGGATTTGGCATCCTGCTATGACGGTAATAAAGACAGATATTCGGTAATATCCCCGTCGCCGGTATTGTTGCCGTTGTCGGAAATGTGTGCCCGCTGTTTACCCAAATTTCGAAGTTCCCAGGGTAAAACATACATTAAATATAAGAGGGAAAACAAATTGCTCTTAATCCTTTAAATGTAAACTCTATGAGTTGGTTGAGCGTTAAATGAATCAAACTACATACGAGTAGATATGTATGGTAGTTTTTGCGCTGCATTCAGTGCATATCAAATAAGCTGTAATTACCAAGTTTTGTGCAAAAAACCGTGTTACATACTTGTTTATGTATGAGCTGTGAAGTTGGATCGCAGTCTCGCTTAATGGTGAAATGCAAACTTTTGATTAAGTCGTTGATGAATGAGGAAGAACGTTATCAAAGTCGACGTTGTTTCCAATCATTTGGGCGGCTTTGAAGGAAGAGGCTTTGTCGCTGGAAGGGAATTTAGAAGTTTTAAAAAGGACGGAAGTGTAAAAGCGAACGGAGACGGTGTTTGTTCATTTGTAACGTCGCTCGTTCTTAAATGGAATTTAGCATTTACTGGGTTTTGTGCTAATTGTTTTCCAGGCTGGCGATTGTATGAAAATTCGTAATGTGTTTTGGATAGAAAATATCGTGACTTGGAAATTTGCGCGAAAATTTGGGTATAATGTCTCCTTTATTTACCCAACTGTTTGCCGACCACTCAAAAAAATGTAAATTGAATTATCCTTAAAATTATAAACCCTTATTTACAATAATTTAAATTCACCATTGAACTTAAAAATATAAGCAACTATAACTACTACAAAAATATAAAATTTGACAAGTAGCACCTTTTTAAAGTGTCCCATTATTTATTTTAAACCAATTTCAATTAAAACTGATGAAAGCTTTTGTATAATTAGGCTAATAAATTCCGTTATAATTTGACGACAATGATTTTAATGTTTTTTTTATTACTTTTTATTCGAATCGCTGGTTCAAATGTTATTTCAGTGTAACAATTTTAATTGAAAATTAACAGTGATTATTAAAAATTCCAGAACCTTTCAAATATTTTATATATTCGTTTAAAATAACTCTTAAAAATTAAATGGCCATAGCTATTTTATGCCAGACTAACCTTTATGCGATTTGATTAAATTGTTTGCTTTAAAATGTTTATTAGAGCGGAAATTGATTCCAATTTTTGTTGATTTAATAATATTAAATCTGATGGGGGAGGATTAAAAAAATTTGATATACTGTGTTTTTTTCTGAAATAATTAATTCAAATAATGCTCCGGGATTCGGCGAGTAAATAAATGCTAAATTGGCGTTGTTGAAAATATTTAGTTTTTTGTTTATTCGTCCGGAATGTACACACGTTTAGTAAGTACCTAGTATATGAAATAAAAATGCTCAATTAACTTGTATAGGCAATGATTTACATAAATAAAACTTATTATTTATTTAACGCTATAATAAACAATTTTTTATCAAAGAAACTTCATTTTCCTTTCTGTGTTTTAACGAGTATACAGCATACAACTGACCTGTTAACTCGAATGTAGCACTTGCATAATATGTGCTTTCTTTAATCAAGCGAAATGTTACCAAAAAGAAAGGTAAATAAAAAGCAAATCACTCGAAACGGAAAACCCAACAAAGCGTATATAATCCGGGTCCTTTTTGAAGAGAAAACTTACGCCGGACCGAAGGAAAGGAAATGTTACCGCAAAGGACTGCTAACTTTTCCCCTTTTTCATTGGCTTGCTTCGATAGATAATATTTATTTAACATCAATAAGATATATAAAATGGATTTAATTTGACAGGTAAAAAATTTCACGTCTCCTTTAATCCCATTACTTCCCTTAAAATAATCTGTTTACTCTCTTACCAAAGTACAAAAAAATTCTTTATATTCAACGACTTATCCTTCTCTGTATACATATGGCACTATTATTCGAGTGTGCTGCTCACGGCGAAAAACCATTCCTAAATTCGCATCTTTTTGCGCCGGTCTACGTCCAACAACAGAAGAATAATGCGACTTCATTATTATGAAAAATAATGTACATGTTTTTCAGTTCGCTTGCAATAAATTTCGTTGCGAAATGAAAAGCGGAACGGCATTTAATAATGCAGAATCTTCCACGGCAGCTGGATTTTTGTCAGGTTTTTATTAAGAAATTTCTTCAATTACCTACAAGAATTTCATTACTAAAAAATTTTAGGAAATACAGTATATTCCGACAGAGGAAAGAAAAATGGGGGAGATTTATTGAAAAGTTTCGAAATTACCGGTTCCAATTAATCCTCTTAACCTACTTAGAAAGAATAGCATTTCTCCTAAAATAAACTGAGGGATTTAAATATTTCTCTCGTTTCTCAATAAGTCGATTAAATATAATTAACTGAGGCAGGCTGCTTGGAGTGTTTGTTTGAAATTCACAAAGCTCATTTGGAATTTCTCGAACGAACGCTCGTTTCGTTTTTTCACCAAATGAATGTCCCAATCAACCGAGATGTGAAGAGGTTCGTCAAAAATTCGGCAAATAAGATGCCGCTCGTTTTATTTTCACCCTATATCAAATGGAAATGCCAGAACAACTGAGGCGACACGCTGTAAAAGCGACGCAGAAAATTCGAAAAAAAAGCTTTTGTGTTTATTTTACCCACCGCGGTCTTTTGTTAGAAGATCTATTGTTGTTATTTTTGGGAATAATAGGATTGCTTTATTTATTAATAATTCATGCATTTAAATGAAGTGTAAATACATATAATAGGCGTTTCAGATACTCAGTATTTCACAAAGAAGACGATTCAAATAAAATACCTGATTTAAAAATTTGAATTTTTAGACAGAATTTCATTCGAAACAAAAAACCTGATATTTTGCAGTGTACTTACCCGAAATTTTTTGAAATTATCTTAAAAAAGATATTTTTTAGATTCAACTTAGTACATAAAAATTAACTTTTTGTAACTTTTTCTTCAGTAACTCAATGAAAATCCGTTCTTCCCATGATCGATCGTTATTTCCTCGACATTTACATCTTTTCAAATTGTAATTCGAAACTTCTTATTTTACTTCCGTGCTCCTTGGGGTTTTTCTTGCGGCATTGATCGATCTGGGGATATCAGGAACGTCGTCAACGGGCGATTTCGAATTTCATTCCTATATCGTCTACGCTGCAATTTGTACACAGCCAAAGTATAAATCAATAGATTATTATTTGTACGAAAACAAGACCGGGGAAATCAAACAAATTCCGAAACGAAATTGTTTGCGTAATTTTACAAAAAACCGTTTGCGATTTCTGTATTTACCCTGCCGATTGTAATTCCGTTTATTTCAAATAAAAGCTGCAGAGGAAATTGGAAGGAGATCAAATATTTTAACAGCTCGAAACTCTTAACTAGTTGTTAAATGGAAAAAGGAATTGTAGTGTGTTTTCTCCTCGAGGGTTCTTTGTGCGCATTCTGTAAACACAGTTTTTTTTGTTTGTTTCGATCGTGCTCTAGCTGGGGTATTTTAAACCGGTTTATTAATTTTCACATTAGAATATTGACATTCTATTATATGTGTGGCTATAAAAAGTGAAGAAATATTTTTCTGTACAACTGGATGAAGACTGGACAAAGAAGACAAATATTTGAGAGCTTTACTGCAGCCGACCGTATGTCGTACTGATAGTGTTATTTCTAGCTATCATAAGACATTCGCGGCTGTGGTCGGGTTCCAAATTCATCGAAATTTAATGAAAATCTACGAAACTCACAATTTACAATTACTTCTACACTGTAAAATATATCGCACAATTCGTCAATAGCCGCGTGCATTTATAAAAAGCTACTCCTTGAGAGTTCCGTGATCAATCAGAGCTTTAAGATCTAACTCGATGTAAATCTCGTGCTATTAGATTAAACCAACAATTCCTTCAAAGCACCGGTAAAAGTTTTATATCCCCTTTGATTGAATGTAACTCCATTCTTCACGTGTCCCAAATGATACATCCATCAAGGCTCGCTTTTTATTACGACTCGACCCTTTTTGCCTGTGAAAGGAAATTTGTCTTTCAAAGGGTTTAAAAAAATTTAGTGGAGCTTTAGAGGAATGGATGATTATCGTAATTAAACGGAGCTGTGAAAATAGCGTGTAATTTAAAGTATTTTTTTTTGTGGAGAGTTCAATTTAAAAATGTTTTTTTATTAAAATCGAATCGGTTTGGTTACAGAACAGATTTTTTTCAAAAGATTTAATCGAAACTCAATCAACTTCCTTTTCAAACTCTAGCAGATACATAAACAAGTTGATTAAAATCGCAAATTAATCAGCAATTTCCATAATCTCGTCGAAGGTTCAATATTGAACTGTATCGTAAAGTCATTCAGTTCCTGCTGGGGACTAATCAGTATGCGAACTTTCCGTTATTCAATAAAACCGTATTCAAACAGAAAATTTCAATTTCAGGATTTAATTTTTAAAGAGCAATCTTTCATTTTAATGAATTTTGTATCGCGCTCATTTTATATCCTATAAATAATTCATGCAGGTACGTTTTAAAACCGTACGTGTAAATAAACTTTGGCAATCTACGTGCGGCACTCTTTGTCCATATCTCTTGAGCAACGTCACCCGTAGTGTTACGTTTTCTGTTCTAACCGAGACAAAAGGCTCCGTTGAGCTCCAAACTTGCCTCGAAACTCGCTCAGTAATTACAATGGATCGTCAAGTTTCTGCGTTGTGTCGCAAACAATTGCATTTCGCAACCAAAGAGCATCAAAATATAATGGTATTCGGATAGATCTTTGGGGAGATCTGCTAGGTATGAACTTTCGACCCTCTCCGAAACCGTTTCAATTTTCATCCAGCAGGATTATCATTCGGTTATCCTGTAATTGTTTACTTAATACATGCAGATTTAGCGAAACGTTTGGATAGACAAAATAAAATGGAGATATCGTAGAAGTGGTATACTTAGCAGAATTTGATTTTAAAAGGCAAAAATTACCTACAAACATTAAACTATACACTGGTTTCTGAATATTCGAGTAATTTTTTAAAAAAATTATAAATTCAATCCCATAAGTACTTCGTGTACGTCGGTTCGTAAGTGGTCAACGTTCTTTCGTTTAACCTAAACGTAACGTTCTTGCCGACGATGGATTGGAAGTAGAGCGTCTTGAAACCAGTGGCGTGCGCGTTCCATTTGGTTCCCACTAGTTTCTTGGGCCTATTCAAGTCCCACACGGTAAAGTGTTTGTCGGTGCTGTGAGCGGGGTATTTGCTGAAGCCGCCGCATTTGCAGCCGGCCAGTTCCTTGCCGGGCCCGATGGGCTTGATGATGCCGGGACCTAAGAAAGGTGGCTCAGTTTTCGCCGGTTTGATGTAAGTCTTGCCGAACGGAATGTCGGAGGGTAATTTGTAAGGATTGCTATCGAAGTACGGTTGCGGATAGACGTTAGTGACCATCGGACCGTTTACTTTCTTCCCGTAGACCTTCCACCTTCCCTTATCGCCGTATTTGTCCTCGGAGTGTTTGGGGTAAGGGTTCATGCATATGTTGGCGTAGCCGCTGTTGCCCTTTCTACCCGGTTTAGTGAGGAAGTTTTTCTTTTCGGGCGGAAGCCTCTTTGTTTTCTTCGCTTTGAAGCTCATGTAAGGGAAATCGCTGAAACACCCGTACCTGCGAAGGATAATTTTATTTAGTCCGGAAAATAAAGTAGAAATCGATGCGTACAAACCAATCTCCGGGCGTCGAATGCCATTTGGTCGGGCCCGGTACCAAAATAGGCGTGATTTTGACGATTTGAAACGGGAGAAGCTTCTTCAGCTTGTTCTTCTTGATCGCTTCGCCTTCGAATATTCTTTTGTATTCCTTATCGAAGTAGCAGTCCGCTAGACCGGCCTTTATTTTCGGACCTATGCCGATGAAATTCGTCCCCGTGAAGTGGCAAGGTGGAGAGTAAATCGGCACATATTGTTCCCCGTGCATGTAGGGCATCTCGGCGAATATGCCGATGCGCTCCACGTCGGGCATGGGGAACTTTTTGCCGTAGGACGGTTCATGGTACTTTCTTATATCCGGATCGAGAACCATTTTCAGATATTTCGGTTATTCAAAAATAATTAAAATGTTTGAATTTGCTTGTATGACATGATTTGTCCTCACTCTTAAATATTTTGTGACAAAAAGGATTTCTTCTCTTTTGGAGAGCAAGTTAATTCTAAAGGTAGAAAGAAAGAAGATTTTTTTTAATTATTTTTATAATTGTAAAATAAGACAGACAATTAGGAAATGAAATTTCAAAAAACCTAAATCAAATTAGTAATATTAGAGAGATTTTGTGGCAATTTAACATCAAATTGCCTACTTTTATAGCTTCATAATTTTTTTAATTAATATTCCAATTGAGGGTGTATACTGTGTACCTACTGCATTTGAGTGTTATAATATGTAAATTTTATCAAATATTTTTTATGATAAATATTTAAATTTCCAAGCAGACAACCCTTTGAAACCCCGAAGCGGTAAACTTCAGCAAAAGTCATACGCTTGAATATTACAGCAGTTGGTAAGGGTAAAAACAATAAATTTTAAACAAGTCAGGTAGACGTTTTAGAACGTAAAGAGTCAAAATTCATGAAATATTACATTTCTGTCTGTCTCTCCCATGGAAAGTACAGCTTACCTAAAATTGTATTTCCAAAAAGGTTGTACGCAACATTGCTGCAATAATACAAAATGAACTTTATTTTGAACGTTTATTTTTATTAATTTACCCTCATTACGATGTCTTGCCATCTAAAAAGTTTCTTCGACTTTTTATGGTGTCTCTTCTCAAATAAAAAATTATAATACATATAAAGTTAATGCTTAACATTTAACATTGCGTAACGAAGTCCTATATAGCAACTCCAAAGTTGGTCGACTTAAAGAAATGAACTGGAAATGAATATCGAATTCCTTCGGGAATCTCGTACGCGATTCGCAACGAAGATTTATTCCCCAAATTACTCCATAAAAACGATTCCGAGGGATATAATTAGATAAAACGAATTTCACGGCGCGCAAACATTCTGGCTCTCGTTAATTCCAACGTATTTATTCATTAATTCCCGTTAAACGAAAATTTAGTGTAATATACTGTCGAAATTTTAATATTTAATCAATACTTATTTTGCCGGACTTAATGAGGAATTTATTCGCGTATTTACACACGATTTAACTATCCAAGGGATCGTGATTAACGGCCGTTGAGCCTGCTACAGTTTCAGTTAAAAACATTTCGAAACTACATACCTAGTTATCTACCTGCGGCGATGTTAAATCACTAGTCCAGCAGATTAAAATTGCATTGTAGATAATAAATTACTTTCAGCTCCCGGTAAGCTATTTACTTGCGCATTAACCTTTGCAATGCGCGCATTTGTCAAATGCACGATAAAACTTTTAAAGTTAATAATTTGTTGGCGTTTGGTCAACGTAACTTTGATATTTCTGGCGCAATGCAAAAAATAGGAGATTACGTTAGGACTGGAAATATATATTCCTCCCCTGGTATGCATGAGGAAAATGCGCTTGGAAATGTGAACTTTTCGCCAACATTTCTCGACGGCAACGTCATTTTGCGTTGTTTGCTCTTTTAATTAACTAACTCTATTGTGCATCCTTTGAGATATCTTGCTGCTTTTTACCATCCAGCCGCATAGTTCCTGGATATTGCATTTTAGTTGGAAACCCAACCGGAATATTAGATTAGTTCAAGATTGTTTACGGATTACACTACTAGACATACAGCACGGAAAACAAATACCTATTTAATTTAGACGTAAATTGCACGTCGAACAAATTTATTCGAAATTCATTAAATATTCGCATTGTTTAGTCAACAGACGAAAACCGTCATTAATTCCGTTCCGGCTTCGGCTATAATAATCCGGTCTACAATTTCCGCGTGATTAACAATATAAGTCATCAGCTAGCGTTTCTCGTTGCCGGAGTACGATTCAGTAACAACCAATTTCTGGGGTTGCAAATTCGAAGGGCTCGAAGGCAAATGCGAACGGACGTCGGGCTGACCTGTGGAATAAACATTTTCTCTCCGGGGATCAATGCGTCGTTCTAATGATTTCTGTTTGGTCGGATGTTTAATAAACGCGGCCGAGCGATTTCGACGGCGAATAAATGGAAACTTTTTCGGGAATAAATGGGATTTTTTTGCCGTAGTACCTGTATCGATGAGGTTATTATTTTCCGGCCATTATTTAGTTCTTGTTGTTTATTTCCACATGCTCAAACTTATTTTTAACGAGGCATTGTGGTTGGGAGGTTTGAAAAGGCTTGTTGTCAAGCATCATTAGTTTCAAAATAAGGACCTTTAGAAGGACGGGAAGTTTATATTTCCTTTTGATGTCCTGTCCGGTAAAGAGACCCGTGTTAGCACCTTTAGATCTAATATTACTGAATTTATCTCGTTTATGCAACCGGGTTTTGGTCTACTTATTTTCCGTTTTCGTATTATAGGGCTTTAATTTACTGATGAAAAATTAGTATGGCATTCAGCGAGTTAATGGTCGTAAATTCCAACGGCTCCAACGGCCTGCCAATCGAGTTGCCGTTAAAAAGACGAGCAAAACACAATTTGCCCGCAAATTGTAATGGGTCCGTCATGAATACCCGACTAGAAAAAAGTCGTTAACGAGGCGATTTCTTTTCGAAAGAATGATATAAAAGATGGTTGAGAAAGCTTGTTAGGGGTTTTTTGCTTCTCCCATGGACTCGTAATGAGACACTTTGTCGACGTTTAGAAAACTAGTAAATTGTGGAGTAGACTTATTCTATTATACTCCGAGACTTTCCTCCGTTGATAAAACATTCTAAGTGTGCATATGAATGCATAAGTACCGCAGGGAAATTGGTCGGTAACATTGGCAATTTAGAGAAAAATCCCCAAAGTATAATATTTGTGAGACTGTAATTACAAGCAAAGAGAATACATTAACCGTTGATATTGCATTTTACGTTTTACTTGCATAGGAAAGAGTCAGCGCTCGCGAATGCTCCATTTACGAACAACAGGGAAAATCTACAAAGAAAATCCATCCGTCAATCCGAGTTCGAGTAGAAGGCACACTTCAGGCATTCATTCGCCAGCGATTGCATATTTTATTTCCACTCCATTTTTGATGTATTAATATTGCACTCGCATCGGATGTTCGACTTTAAAGTTCCGAGGGCGCATCTTCGCATTTCACTTGGGTCAACGCTTTGTGTATAAAGAGATTCCTTTTTGAATCCGACTCATTTTCATGATTCCCGTTCGTCTCCAGACGAAAGAATAGAGCGCTGTCTAGACGTCGCACGGAACGTGATCGAATGTAATCCGCACGCAACCCGAGAACGAGGTATATTTTCAATTCCTGTCGACTTAGTCTGTAAGCACCGACAGCAATTGCTAAATGCCTTGTCCTGACAGACCTCAAGGATAACAGAAAAGTATCTAGAGGGAAATTAAAACAAGAATAAGCAAATCATGAGCTCTCCATGTAGACAAAATTGTAGGTTTCACTTTGAGGCAATTAAAATTTAGACCAAAGTTCAAAAATAATGCAATAAATTAAAATTTAATTTAGCCAAGACAAGTAGGCACTCGTATATTCCTGCTTTGTTGATTTTAATTAATATATGAAAGCATAAAGTTAGAAGTACCTACCTGGTTTTGCAACTTTAATAATTAATTATAAACTGTTAGTGCCTTTTAATACGAAATAAATTAAGGTATATTGCACGTAAATATGGATTATTCGAATGAGGTTATTCCTGAAACGTTGTAGCAAAAAATTGCGGAAAAGAGGTAATGGATATTTATTATGATATCTAAATTGTATTCCGGAAAATGCAGCTGATGTCTGCTTGAGATAATGGAGGAAAGGATGAGAAAAACCCAGATGGCGTGAAATGTTACTTTAAATTCCGTTATGAGACCGGTTCGTTTTATATTTGTTATTTCAAAACGTGCTTAATAAAAGTTGCTTTGGAGTTTCCACTATGGAAAACGATGGGAATCGAACATTCGAGATTATTAAATTCAATATGTTGAACTAGGTTGTTTTATTTTAAGACGACCATATTGCTCATGAATCATGATGAAGCTGCAGGTTTTTACATTATTTTGTTTTCTGCTTGTTTCAGACGTTTCGTCATGGCTTTCCTTTCCAACCAACTGCCATGGCTTACGATCCGGTGCAGAGATTACTGGCAATCGGTTCGAAATGCGGTTCCCTACGAATGTATCCTTTTTTGCATAAATGAATAAATTTTAGATATCTTACTGCGCTTTAGAGGGACAGGTAAGTACCTACAGTAAAAAAACCATCTCCCGGGCAAATAAATTTGTTGAAATCTGATAATTGCAAGTTTGGATTTTAATGCAAATAGTCGTAAAATTCTAAAGTTTTTATAGAAACTGTTGATATATTACATCGACTTCTTTCTTCAATTTATTTGATTTCACATTATTATTTTTACAACATAAATAACTAGGTTAGTGCTGCAATAAAGCACATGTTTTTGCCGCTATTTCCCCAAATTGACGGCTGTGGAAATAAAATAAAAGCAGCTCCACATATAAAATTCCTATAGTGCACATATATCAATAAAACAAAAATGTCATAAAATCCCTGGTTTTTTTACTACTAAACTAATGCATGTGCGATAAAATAATACATTGGTTAAATTAGGTGTTATAAAATATTGCATGGAGTATATATTTTTATAGTAAATCATCAATTAATTTGATCCAAGTAATATTCTGTAGGTACCCATTTTAATATATTCTCCCGAAGTATTTTAGGCTTGTTATTGGGACAACCTCTGTAAATTAATTTCATCAAATTTTCATTAATCTGATATCGGTGGGCCGTAAATTCACATAGTCATTTTCGAAAACGTGAAATATCCCGAAAATTTAATCGGAAATTTAATAACCGCAATCAGAACAAACATTGGAGGATCTATCGTCACTTCTCCTAATCTGCGGTCCAATATCCTCCCTGCGATATTATGTGTTCCACTAAACTTAAATTAATACCTATTTTAGCGGTTCGTATATTTTGATTTGATTCCCGCCTAATTAATTTCTGAGCTAGATAGATAATTTTCGGTTTTCACCCTTATATTTATGTAGGGTTAAGCTAACAGATGCCTTATTGAATATCGGTTCTAATAAACCCCACGATTTTTTCCGATTAAATTAGACTACCTGTTGATGTTTCCATTAAATTTCCAATAAAGTCATAATATCGAATCATCGAATCATTAGAAATTCGCCCACGGTGTTTTACTAATTCATCATTTCGATTCTAAAAGGTCGATATTGCTTTGTCTAATTTGAATTTCAAATAGGGTTTTTTTCTGCCTTTATCTGTACCCCGACCTTTTCCCTGCTTATAGAGTTAAATTCGCTATCGATAATATTATTCATCTTCGTTTCGAAATAATCGCTCTCGCATAACGAAAAGAGCTAAATAGCATGGCTTAATTAAATTTGATATAGGTACAAATCATCAAAAATGTTTACAACAATTCTGGATTTTTTTGCAAAATATACCTACTCGGCTTTTGAATTAAAAGTTAAAAGCACCAGAATTAGATAACAATTCATTTTATAGTTAATATTTCTTGAATATCTTGCTACTCTTGTATAGATTTATTATGGTACGTGTTTCTGTGGTACACGATTGACAGTAAAATAATAAAATTAATAATGCAGCATTACCTATTTAAATTGCGGAATATTCAGAGGCATGATGAGGAACGTTAACGAGCGTCGAAGAGATTTTAATTAAGATACAATTTAACTCTCTACTATGGCGTTTCGGTCTTTCATAAAAGTAGAACTTATCGAATTGCGGATGCTTCGTTGTTAACACGTCTACGCTTTTCCTTTATTTCACTACTGTGACCGGATTGTGTGGAATTTTACTCGAAATGGGATGCGATACGCCACGTTTAGAAAAATTTAATTAAACCTAGCTTAATCGAAACGGATTCTTTTAGAACTAGCCGGGCGTTTCGTTATTTCGATGAATAATGTTGAATGTAGCTATTCGAAAATTAGGTGGGAATTATATTGTGCATCACAATAGAAGAGAAACTATAATAAAATGAAAAAACCATCAAATACCTGAATAAGATGAAGGCATTGCTTGTATTAAAGTTGCCGTAAAAATCTCGAGAGATGTTTCATTTCGTAAAAATTTAGGTAATAAAAAAATTGCTGGAATATTTTTATATGTTTATGGATTCTCCTTCGTATTATATACTTTTATAAAATACATTGTATCCAGATAACGTGGCATGGATCGCTCGTGGGAGCGGCGCTGCTAGCCGGAACGTTTCCATTTTCTTTTTAACCGAACACGAATAAATTCGTGCTCGTAAAATTCCGTGTACAAGAAAATACGAAAATGTTGTTAACAAGTTCAGTCAATGTAGAAAGGGCGAATGCATTGGATTTTTCAGTTCGTGTGTAAAATTATTTCGAAATAAGAACGCGCCATACCTATTGAATAAATGCAATGGAGCATGGCATGCATCAATGGTTGGTATGAGTTTAATGAATAGTATATTCAGTGTACTTATACAATTTGCAGAATATTTAATAATAAATTAAAGTAAGAGTGTTTGAACGTTTTGGCATAATTAATGAAAAGCTTATTTTATTAAATTTCTGCTGCTAATACAGCAAAATATAACATCAAAAATCTCGTTCTCGCCCAATTTACCTCATAAAAAAATTCCAGCGTTGGAAACTCATAATTTGTATATCCAATTTTTTAATGTACGTAAATGCGAAATTAATTAAGCACTGCTATATTCACATTTTTCCGGATTCTCTTTTTTCTGGAATTTCTTTTAAAGCACCATCAACATGAAAGAGAATTAATTACTTCTGATGATTTAAAATGCATCAGTTCAAAGAATTCATTTAATTAGCTTGAGATGTAAGCTTTTAAACTAACAGTTAATGGAAAACAAGAAACCAGCTAAATTAGAAATGAATAATTATAAGAGGATTGCAGAGAAAGGAGCAAAACTTGTGAGGTATCTTTTAAACTCTCCTTTGTACCTACTATTGGCAAACTTTGTAAATATCATGGTGTAAAAACTCCTTCAGAAAATCTAAAATAGCGAGGATTTTAATGGAACTAAAATTAGTTTTATTTTCGATGTCATCCCCTTCGTACGAATCTCATAACGCATCCAGAAACCGAAAAATTCGTATTTCTCCGCCGAAAAAGAGTGTTAAATGGGGAAATGGGTAATCGATTCCAACTCGAGGTGGAAAATGGAAAAAACCGGATACTCCGAATAAACGGCAACCGCCACAGACGTCGGTAGAGGGCGCTAATGCGTTCGGCACCGCCAGATATTTACTTTTCAAAATGCAAGAAGAAAAAGGGCCTCTCCCTCGATCTTCGACTTTCCTTTTCAGGGTAATTTCTCTATCGAGAAGTTTATCTTTCGGGCTGTGTCGGTAGAAATATCAACAAGTTTTTGTTAGACAACACGTTTTCCATTAGCGCGAGTTTTCCTGCCTAAATTATCTTAATAGAACTTTGCTACACAGGGCGTCGAATGTCGTCTCACCTTCCTTTTTGTTTTTTCGCAATTATTGAAATTCGCTTTTCCCGTGTACTTCGTCATTTTAAATTTAACCAATTATAACTGCGAAAACTTTCCGAATTAATAATTGTCGCAAACTTGCCACTTTTAATAAGGTTTTCCTTTATCAAGCAGCTCTCCTTTTTCCCTCGTTAGTCAGAGAATATCCTTCGGCGATTAGTTTCAAGCGCTTCAAGGAAGAAGACATATTTTCCGGAACGTTTCTCATTAGTGAATTATTTATCCTAATTTAAATCGATACCAGACTAAACTTCACTAAGTACTTGCACACTGCTAATTAACTCTTGTTATTAATTGAGTAATGTAATTATGTAAATATAACCATTATGAATTTGTGATTCGTTTAGCACCTACCCAACATTGAAGTGCTAATAGAATTTCGTATTAAAAATTATATTTTTCACTGATGCGAAGTACGAACAGAACACAATCATCCCCTAATGAAATATTCCAATTAACACCAGCAAAAACGGAATTACAGTTGGTCGTTCGACATGTTTGTATAAATATTCGCTTTGTTATGTTTTTTATAAACCGCTCTACAGGTAATTGGCGTCGACGTTTTCCCAATAGGAGAAATTCAATTTAGTCTAATTAAATTCCTTGCCGGTCTGTTGAAAGTTGAAACAACGGCGATTTGTAAAAGGGAATATTAAATTACAATCTAATCGAGTACGGTGCATGTTTTATCGTACGACACGATACTATAATGAAATTATAAACGCGTGTACTAATTATTGTCGATAGGAATTAAATTTATTTTGAATTCTCATTTCGACTTTTATTCAGAAAAGAACAAACAATAAAAACAATTAAAACAACCGCGACGAGCTTATTATTCATGTGTTGGATTTCGTTCGTGCATCTGATGGTTTTCATTAAGGATTCGGGTAAATTTTTTTCGCGTGCGTCGTTTAAAATTGTTTTTTCCCCTGAAAAAAAAAAAAAATTAACCGACGGCATGTACAGGGCTGTCTGGTTGTGTTTGAATGATATTTCGTTTGTGTTTGCTCGAGTATAATATTTCAATTAATTCGCGAATCTCGTAGGGTTTGTTTTCGTTTTGTTAGCCGTTAATTGCCAAACGAACCCAACCTAAAACCGAAGAGAAAATCGACGTTTAATAGCCGAACGGTGTAAGGTATGGAATAAATTCGGATTAGACCTGCTAAGGAAACTAAGTTCGAGATAAACAGGTCGCTGGTAAGTTTAACGACCACATTATTCGCTTTGTTTTGTTGCGAGGTAAATCCGCCAACAGGGGATCGGATAAGACGCTATAAGTTTGTTATAAATGGGCTTTAAGGTTTTCTGAATTTAGATGAAAAGCTATTTGGGAGATTCCTCTTATCTTACTGCGAGATAGACTATGTAAAAAATGAGGACATAACTTCTGAAGGAAGGGTAATTATGTAATTAATTAACTCTTTGCATTCCCTTGTCCCTGATAAAGCGACATTTAAAACACCACTGTGAAACTTTTAACCCACTGTCGCTACAACGGCGACTCATTTGTAAAGGGTTAACTTTTGCGAAACTAAAAATTCTACTAATGACAGTAATTTGGGAATATTATTGACCATTAAAACACGATTTTTGAATCGAAATAACTCGACCTTGTCACATCAATTATATTGGCACATGAGCCTATTTTTAAAAGGACGAAGGGTACGGTAAGCAACCTCGCATGCATGCAAAGCAACAATCAATATCTATAATTCAGCGCCCGGGGCTTGTGTATAAACAAATCGGTGCAAGGATATTTTCTCGAAAATTAAATTTTATATAGATTTCGCGTGCGATTTGCTACCCTTAATTCAACCCTCGAATCGTCGCGTTTCGACTTCGATCGCATTCGAAGTACCTATACCTCTTCCAATGATATTAATTTTCTTACGGCAACTCGTATCTCAAACCTCCCAGCACTGAACATGTCAGTTAATCAGCCAGTCAGTCGCGCTTGGAAGTTTATATACAGGTTTCATGAACTACCTTCAATCTACCTAAATCAATTTTTATCACGTTTCGAGTCCGTATATTCAAATTGGACTTTCGACAGCAATCGCAATTGGGAGTCCATTCAGGAAACGAATGTTGCCCACAAGGAAAACATTTTTGCAATATCACCTGTACAGCGCTGATTTATTATTCTTTCTCCCTAATTGCGAACATCCATGTATCGCTAGCCGGGTATTCCCGAAACGTATTCAGTTCGATCCTGTAAGTAGAAATAGGAATGCGGAGTGCAGTCTCTCTAGCGACACGGCTAAACGAGAACAATGGCCGAAGCCGGCTAATCCTAAAACAATTTCGCGAATAACTGCATTTGATCATTTGCTCGAGCTCGCACGTGGAGTCGCCCTTTGTGCCTTAATTAAGTAAGGCACAAGTCCGGATTACTCCGGGAATTATTGACGTAAACAACTAAAAATCGGAAATAAAACGGATTAAAGACCGAACGCTCGGAGACGTAATGATTTCTATTCGTTTTTTATTCAAGATATTGTACGAGTAAATAAGAACTTGTGGAGTATTTTTTTTGTTCGACTTGTCCACGCAACACGCAATGTCTCTTTTAAAGTATTCATTTATGTTAATGGGATTCTCTTTTGTTTTCCAATTCCGTAATTAAGCTAAAATATTCCATTGTTACCAACCCTAATGGTCGGGTTGTGTTTAAATTCTTCTCGTATGAGACTCTGAAAGGCCGTATTAAAACTTCAGTATCGGCCGAATTTAGGCAATTAGAGGAGTAGAGAGGAGCTTAATCATTAATTATTTATGCCGGAAATAGTATTTCTTTAGAAGCTACTTGTAGAGCTTTGGATTCATTTGATTTAATTAAGTAACTTGTACAATCAGTCACACATGTTTGTGAATGTTTATAATTGATAATTGCTGGATTACATTGTGATTTTAATTTCAAATTAATTCGACTTGTTAATGCATTATGCGCAAGTACAAGCTAATGGATTTTCTTTAATTGTCTCAAATTGATTTTAACTAACGCAATTAGCATAAAGTACAGCGAAATAAATCAGTTTAATTTATCGCAAATGTAATTCGCAGTCTGTTTGATTTTACAATTGCATACATTAATTTACAATCTATACATACGAAAATATATCCATTTTGTGCGTGGAATATCAATTTTCAGTAATAATATCATCGTATTGCAAATAAATTTAATCTCCGTCAAATTATTTATGGAAGCGCCTCATTATTAGCAAACTAAAATGTTAGTAAGATACAATAAATTCCGAAGTTACAGCACTGCATTTCTCGCTGAATTGCATCTCCCGGTGATCGATTGGGAACTTGCAACCAGCAGAGAGGATTCCATTTCTCCGCGCGAATGGATTTTTGCTCTTCGTTGGGCGTACTTATACGTTTCAGGACGTTGTGAATTGAACGATCGGAGATGTAGTTTTAATATTTTATGAATTGTTTCGTGAATTCGTAATCGTTCGTCGTTTAAAAGCAGCGTTACGGCCGCAAATCCTCTTTCAACTTTATCGGAAAATAAGCTCTTTACATCCAAAGTACCTAAGTAGGTTTCAACAAATAATATTGATGTTGGGAAATGGCCAAGACCGCCGACGAGAATTCTACTAAAATGTTTCGTAGAGGTAAAGTTTACTTTGTGTATTCTTGGGTGACTGCACATTAGTTATAGACGCAGTGAAAATTGTTAACACATTTTGGTGGGATTAAACTATTAACTAACATTTAGTTATTATAACTTAACAATTTTAAAACTTCCACTCAATTCCTGATGAAAACGTACTCCCTCATAACGCATTAATCTCTCCGAAAGATTATAAATTATAATTCAACAACTATTCTCCTGTCGCGGAAAGGACTAATGTTAATCCGCAAGGTCGGTTGGGCCATGCGGTATATCCTTCCTTCCACCAGAGACGGTCTGGATTCCATCCTTCCTGTCAGTTAGTCGCTCCAATACACGGAAGGATAAAGGATCATTCTACGCTACCGGAGCGTTAAGATATCGAGGAAGCATTTTCCACACAACCACGCCACGTCGATTATAAATCCTTTATTATAGTTTGCGTATTCGGTTTTCCTTAATGCGATTTAATCAGATTGGGCCAGCCGGGAGTGGATGTGCACGTCCGACACGACATGGACGGCCCTCCAGGCTCCGCCGCCGTCCTTCATCTCCAATTCCTCGTCAACGAGGGAGCCCTTATCTCGGCCACCGCAGACGACACGCTACACCTTTGGAACTACCGACAGAGGATTCCGCAGATCGTGCAGAGCCTCAAGTTCCAAAAGGAAAGGTATCGCGAACGCGGCGGAATTTCCAAAGGGCCTTAACGCCGGATATTTCTAATGCTTTTTCTTTCCAGGATTACGTACATGCATCTTCCGTTGCAGTCGAAGTGGCTGTACGTGGGCACGGAACGGGGAAACGTTCACGTAGTTCAAATTGAAAATTTCAACCTTTCCGGTTACGTAATAAATTGGAATAAAACCATAGAAGCGTAAGTGTAATAACGAAACACTCGACTAGCGAACGATGTTTATTTGTCTTTTGTAGATCGCGAAAAACCCATCCCGGTTGTATAATACATTTAAGTGATAACCCATTAGACGCTAGTAAAGTAAGTGCGTTCGAGAAATGATGGCAATCCGATATAAATTCCCTTTCGCTTTCAGTTGTTAATTGGATTCGAATCTGGACAGGTAGTTATGTGGGACCTTAGGAGTAAAATAGTGGACATGAGGTGGTTGACTAGCGAATTAAGGTCCGTTACGTGGCACCATGAAGGAAAGCAATTCATGTGTTCACACAGCGACGGTACATTGACCACGTGGAGTTTAAAATCACCGTTGAAATACATACATATATCTCAACCTCATGGTACGGAAATTGTTTAACATCATACCATTAATATTGAGAGTTTTGTTTTTGTATTATAGCGAAATTTACCAAAGATGGAAAACCAGAACAGTGCAAACCGATATCCAAGGTGGAATGGAAAACGTCTAGGACGGGGTAAGTTGTCTATTTTATTTACACCAATTCTTGAGGTATATGAATACATATTTTAGGGAAGCATATGTGATATTTTCTGGTGGGATGCCTTATGACCAAGCTAGTAGAACTCCTTGTATAACTGTTGTATATAGTAAAACCACTACCGTTCTCGAAATGGAACACAACGTAATAGATTTCATAATTCTTTGCGAATCCCCTTATCCTAGTGGTAAGTTGAAGCGAACCGGTCACACGGCATTAATTCCCGCTTAACGAACGTGACCGTTTTTCAGAACTCCAAGAACCCTACGCAATCATAGCTCTTCTCCAAAACGATTTAGTTATAATGGATCTCCAATCGCCCGGTTTTCCGTGTTTAGAGAACCCCTATCCGATGGATATACACGAATCGCCCGTCACGTGCTGTAGTTATTTAGCGGATTGCCCCGCCGATCTCATACCGGCCTTCTACTCGGTGGGCAGAGCGGGGGCGATGAAAAAAAGCGGATTTTCCGAGATGGATTGGCCCGTCAACGGCGGCACGTGGCCGGCGCACGCTTGCACCTACGCGGAAATCATCATGACCGGGTAAAATAATCACGTTGTGTCACTCTCGTAATTTAATCGATGGATTTTTAACAGACACGCCGATGGCAGCGTGAAATTCTGGGACGCCAGCGCCGGCACGTTGCAGGTCCTGTACAAACTGAAAACCGCCAAGGTATTCGAAAAACCGAAGTCCAGATCGCTCGAATCCGAAGACGATCCGTTCGCCGTTCAAATCCTCTCACTCTGTCCCGAATCGAGGAAATTGTGCGTCGCCGGCGCCTCCAGCCACGTCATTCTGTTCACGTACAAAAAGACCGAAACCGCCGACGAGGTGACCGTGCTCGAAGTGCCCATCACCTACGAGGTGCCCGAAGAGGGCGAAATATCGCCGGACTGTCAATTCTCGGGGCCGGGAAGCGCCGGCTCCGGCACCAAATTAGACATGCTGGACTTCGACAATAAGAAGGTAACCGTTAACGAATCGATTCCTAATTCCGCTCATCCCGGTCTTTACAGGACGCTATCACGTTGAAAGTTAAAACGGGCGTGCAGAAGAAACTTCCCGGATTTCAAGCGCAATTAGTGTGTTTAACGCCTTGGAATAACGGAGAACCTCCTAGTCATATTACTGCTTTAACAATTAATAGTTCATACGGATTGTAAGTATTTTATTTAAGGGACTCTGAATTCACTTCACAATGTACACCGAATTTGTTTCTCCCGCGATTTATAGAATGGCGTACGGCAATGAAGCCGGCATTGTGATAATAGATATAGAGCAAAGGGTGTGTCTTCTGAACGTCGGCAGTCCGGATTTGTACGGCGCCCAGGATCCCTATTCGCGCGTGCCGAGGAGCCCGAAGAAGAGCCAAGTGGTGACCGAAACGTTGCCGGTGAACGCCGATAGGGAGGAGAAGCAGCCGCGAAGCCCGAGCATCGATCAGGTTAGTGATTTCGTCGCTTCTTATACCACGATCTATTATTGATTATATATTTTATCGATTGGTTATTTTTATCAGCGTGTTGATTGGTATTCAACGCGCGATCAATTTTTTTAGTTAACGTTACTTTTTTTCGTTTTCATGATCCACCCACAAGTTGATCATTTAGGACGTTAGGCTATATAAATGGAGTTAGCAATTGCGGCTACGCTGTGGGAAGAGTCATTTAGTGATTTAGCGAGCTTCGGGAAAGTTGACAGAAATAATAAGTTAGAGCTTTTGAAACGAGTCGAAATTGGCCCGTATATTCATTTCTTTAGGTAATTTCGATACCGGTAATTTCGATTTCCGTACGGATTACTATAATATTTAGGCGAGATGGATTGTGAGACATTTATGTAGTTTGCTACACTGTAAAAATACAACACTAAACTTCATGTAAAGTATCTAATAACCAACGCACTTTGTCGAGTATATAATATCATATTTTTTAAAGGCAGTGTGACAGTAATAATCGTTTTTTTTTTCTATTTTATATACATAAATTTCCGTTTTCATTATAATGTAAATAAATTCGTAAATCTTCCCACAGCGACTTTGCTCACTAATTTCACGGAAGTACGATTATTATACAAACCCGCTGCAAGCGTTCTATGGCCAAAAAAACCAAAATTTTCTATTACTAATTTTGTCGCTAATTTTGCCAAATAAGTTGCTCGAACTCGGCTTTTGTATACACCCAATTTTATGCATGATTTAGATGGGAAGATCCCCAGAAAGTCCATTTTCCTTTGCCCCTTGCCCCACACCTGTAGAGCAAGCCACCGAAGCGTTGGAAGAGGAGAAAGCCATGCCCATACCGCAGAACCGTCGGAAATCCTCGACCTGGAAGGGTTTCAATCTGAAACGTCAATTATCTAGGGTAGATATCAAAATAAAGAATTCCCTCAAAGATAAGAGGGGCAGCATATTTTACAATGACGCCAACTCGGGACCTGAATGTCCGGAGGAGAACGTCGAAGACGCCGAAACCACGTCGCCGGAATCCGATGAAAATACAATTGTAGACAATCAAAGCGTTATCGATTTGAACGTGAAACGCGAGGACCAAATCGCCGCGGCCGCCCTGGAGAACGACATTATCGAGTATTCGCCAGAAGAAGAACCGGAATTTCCTCTGATGGTCGGATCGTTAGGTAATTCGGCGGAATGCCAAAGAAGAAAAATGGGTTCGATCACGAGGCCTGATAACTTGGAACTGAGCGAAGATGGCTTGCCGATACGCCCGCCGAGGCAAAAGAAAAAACAGCAGCAAGACAAGAGGGACCAAAGACTGTTGTCAGTGCCTAATATTAAATTCCAAAGAGCGGACGCTCAAAATTACAGAGATTTAAGGGATAAGGATGAAATAAACGCCGTTAGCCCGCAAGCCACTTTCACCGGAAATCTTAGGCGACGTTTCAGTAAGTTCTAACTCTGAACCTTTAACCGTTTTTATCCTTTACCTCCTTTTAGTCCGAACTTCCTTTTTTTATATTAATTGAACAGTCAAATGGTACGATTCGACTTCTTGCACATACTCTTATGGCTTTTTCAATTTGCATTTGACTGTTCGAATCGGAAGTTTTTAGAAGTGCCTGTGTAGGGTGATTGGATTTTTCTAATAATTCAACAAATATTAGAAGAGGAATGTCTGAATATGCATTTTATTTAACTAGCGTAGCCTTGGATAAAAGTATAGTACATTACGAAAATGTATCCTCCGTGATTTACCCAAGATATACAGGACGTATCGCGAATATTTCGTTTATAAATATTAGTTTTATACAGGATCTTTTTATACACTCTGGTAAAAATGGTCCCTATGTTTTAAACGAGATGAAACGTCCTGTCTATCTGCGACACTACTAAATTATTACCTGGTTCTTAAATTTTGTTTGGATAATTTGGTTTTCCGTGTTGGCCTTTTTGCTCTGTTTGTGTTTTTGTTTAATATGTTTTTTTAACACTCGCTGTTTTTTTGTAAATTTAACCAAACATTTTTATACATAACATACAGTTTTTGATCGAATTCAATTACAATAACATATACACGAATAATACAATTTACAACTTCAGGTACTTTTGTTTTATATTACTGTATTAGGGCATTCAATAATACGAGATATTTATTTCTTGGTTTGATAAATTTTGTTTATATTTTATGTGTGTTTGTGAAATACAAAGAAAGAATTTAAAAACGTAGAATGGCTTTATCTCATGAACTAAGAATAATATCTGAAAATGCTGGAGGCAATTTCTGGAAAACACATTCTGATATCATCTTTATTTCATAAAATACAGCCGCAAGTTATTAAATTGTTACCTTTGTATTCATATGTACCTGCTGCTGTTATTTGTAATATTTTTCTTATAAATAGCCAATTTTGTTCAATAATTTGTCAGTTGTAAAGAGTTCTCTATTTCCCTCAATAGAACACCGTTAAAAACTTGCTGATGAGTTCAAATTTTTTAAAGAAAAATTTAATTAGGTGTTGAAAACATTCGAAGATCTTTTCTGTTAAGTTCACTTCTCATTATTTTTGTTATATAAAAATTAATACATCTTTAAATCATCATATTAAATACATATTAAATAATTCATATCTCATCGTTTATTTTTATTTTTCTGGTGTTTCTTCTAAACAAAATAATTTATTTCATTCCAAGATGTAGTTTGGTTAGTACATTTCCTCCAATCATCTACCAATTTATTTCAAAACTATTGGTTATTCATCAATTTGAGTTGAATTTATCACAACAGCAAATCATTGGTTTCGTTCGTGATCAAATTTTACGTTTGCTCTCGTATATGTTATTGTGATTAATAAATACATACATTGATCGCTGTTCGCTAGAGATACACATTTCTTTTATTAACGCTTTCTTCCAGCGAGCATCAGTGGGTTTTTGACTTTGTTCTCGGTGGCTTTGGCGCATTATAAAGGGCGAAGGAGGCAGCCTCAATTGCGTGGCGTACCTAACGAGAGGGCTTTGGGGTAGGGAGTCACGTAGTTTTAATTGTAGGACCTGCCCTAGCGCCACATAGCGGCTTTATAGAACAGCTAAACTGCCTTAAATATTATTAACAGTACTAATATAGTGTGCGTTATTGCGTATTTCAAAGTGCGGCTTCTACTCGTCCTAGAATCAATCATTGCTCATATCACGTACATATTTCTTTTATATTATACATAGATTATATATTGTCTTTGGTTTTTTTTTACTTCCAAAGGTAGCACCGCCATCCGCAGGTTTGATTGTTTTATAATCGTTGAATAAATTTGCTTGTTTTATCTTTTCTTTATCCATAATAATTATATAAATGGATATAATTTTGACTAGTACCCGATTAATTAAGGGAAATCTATCAAATTGTCATCTGGAAATGAATCCTTGTAGGATTAGATTAGAAAATTGAAGCTGAATAATTTTTTAATGCTATAAATCTAGAAAATATTTATTGTAACTTTTTATTATGACTATCAGTATTTTAGTATTTTTTATTTGATTTACTTTAGCTGTTGCAGAACTTATTACGACCGGATAGCTTCGAAAAAATAATCGTTACTCCCTTTCACGGAAACGGTTAGAATTTTAACGTTTTGTTTGCACTGAATTTAAAGGTTTTCCTTTTTATACATTTTCAATTCACATTCCGAAATTACTCTTCACATTTTTAAAGTTGTTTTTGAGCACTTAATTTTCCGATTTATATGCTTGAATTTCGCATTTTCCAGCAACTTTTTGGCATGGCATTTAACGAGAATGCTGATTTTATAAACCGCAGGATTTTTATCAAATTTCATCTAACATACGCGTAACATCGTGCATTTAAACGATTTAAAATCGATGGCGTTGGTACTGTCGGAATGTCCGTTGTCTGTTAACGTGCTGGTGTATAAGTGGTGCTGGTACTTGGATAGATAAACGGCGTGTGCAGTCCAGCTTCGACCTGTCCTTCGGGTAACGTCTCCTCGACAGCTGCAGGAGGTCGCGTACGTCCAGACCCGCCGCGCCGATCACGATCCCAAGGTACTCGCAAATTGCACAAGTGCCTGTCGACGGCTAGCTACTCTGAGGAGGGATGCCACTCGCTAGGCCCCTCGTCGGCAATCCCCACGGCCGCCCAGCGACAACAGTTGATGGTCGCTCGACAATATTGCAGTTTTGGTAGTACACAGTCACCGCGCTAAATTATTATTATTACCATTATTATTATTATTATGACTCACCCGGTACTATTATTGCGACACTTATTACGGCGGTTGTTGCTCGTTTCACAAGCATCGATTTATTTAGATTGACATAGTAATTTTTGAAACTAATTGGATTTTTCATATTTACTCTGTTACTCATTTTCTCTTTAATTTTGGTTTTTCTCCATTAAATATTTTGAGCTAAACATCATCTAAAACTGGGATAAATGGGAGGAACCTCTTACTTTTCATTAAAAAATCCACGAGGTTCTACTTCAATAATTAAGAAAAAATCCAATTAAGCTTATTTAAAAATTACTTCTATTTTCACCAGGATGAATCGGTTGACCAATTTTCAAGGAATCTGCTGATTCGACATCGAAATCGTCAATATTTTGGACGAATGCATTTTAAATTTGTTCAAATGACTTTAGGACTATCCTTATGATAAGAAATGTTCATTATTTTTGTTATGCAGGCTGCGATTCCGATCAGAATAATTGACTTGCGAAGGGGACACGACAATTTGTCGATGGTTGCAGGAGAAAGTAAATCCTTTGATTTTTATTAAGTATACATATTTACTAATTTGAAAATTTGTATAGCACTTGAGGTTGGTTTAGACTTTGAGTAATACTAAAACTCGTATTTGGTTTGTACAGCAGTTTGTCATAGAGTTAATTAATTTTGAAGTTCGATATGGATCACGTGTAATTAATCATCTTCAGAACGTCTTACCTGTATACCTGCACTTGGTTTTCCGCTATTCTTGTAGCTCCTAGAAACTAACTTTATTCTGTAACAACTCAACTAATATCTTCTTGTAACTTTAATTTTAAGGGGTCGTTTATCTTTTAACAAGACCTTAGTTGATAGAAAGTGTTTTTTCTAGGATGTACAAGTATATCAAAAGCTATCAATGATTATACATGTGTTTGTGTATCAGGTAAGCAATATTTTCGTTTCATTTCTTATTGTTCCATTAATTAATCCCTTGTATACTGGTCAATCTATTAACCTGGATAACACCTTTTCTTTAGAATGTCTGCCGTTAATATTACAGATTAGGAATTTTATTTTAAAATTAACAAATTTTTGCCACTTCCTTTCTTTCATTATTTGTACATACTATTAGTTTTCATTACTTTGTTTTTATTAACTAAATTAGATTTTGAGTTTAATCCGCCAAGTTCTTTAAAAATGTAGTTACGTTTTATTTTATAAAAAAGTAAAAATTGCTGAAAACTTTCATTTTATTACTTTATCAGCAATAATTTTGATGACAATCATTGCAGATGCTTGTAAAATTGTAGATATTCCTGTTACATTTGAAAATAGTTAGTAAACGATTTGATTCTGTTAACCACTTCACTTTAGTTGTAGGTTCTCAGTTAATTTTCGTTCATATGATATAAAATTCGAACAGCAATAGCAGTACCTTATTTTTTGAGCTACTTTTGAATTTTTGCATACATTTTATGCGTTTGAATAGTTTGTAGTTTTTGAAATCACACTGTAGTATTTTTTAATCACGGCCCTTAGCGAACATCTCAGGATTAGCAGAGTTTATAAAATTGGCGATTTTTTAAGCTCTGGCCTTTGAAATTGTGTGTCGGCGTAGTTGTAAATTTTCTCTGTAAAACTAAAATTTTCCGAACACAGCTGTATCTATATTTTTCACATTGTTTTTTCAACTTATTTGTTTATTTGTTTTTTTCAGCATGCCCTTGAGAGGTGACTTGTACTTCCAAACCTGTATTTCACTGAGAATTCGATAATTTCAATAATCTTTTTTCAATCTGATCTGTGTTCTAAACTGTGTGCCTATTGTCCGTCCTGTTTTTTATGAAAGCTACCTTTTTATCTTATCTTGATGTTCAATGTTGTGCACATCTTTTAAGTGTTTTTTTATTGATTGCATCAACACTCTGTATACACTGTGTCTAAAGTCGAGCGCTACATTCGTCCGCCGATTCATCGCGCCGAAGCCGCGCCTCTCCACAGTTCGACTGATTCTCTCTTTCTACTGTTTGCAGCGCTCGAACATGGACACTGTATATTGCAGTAATTTTTTTATTTTTTTTTTCTTTAATTTTGAATATTTCCTATTCCGTCTACTAATTTTTCATCTTTAAAAAATTATAAATTAGGTATTCCAAATAATTAGAGATCATATTTATAGTCTCTTAATTAAATTTAATAATCTGTACCTAATTAATTTAAGTAAACATATCTTAAGCACCATACCACATTTTTTTTAAATTTTAGAACATTATTAATGTTTTATAATGATGCAAATAATTATGTTAAATAAGAAATAAAATGTTATGCAAAAAGTACGCATATAAATTGCTATTTTATACATTATCTGTTCGAGTGTTGATGCAGCTAGTCAGTTCTGACCGCAGATTAAATTGGTCCGATAACAAAAAGGAACAAAATCGATGGCCATTACTTTTTTGAATTAATATTTTTTTATTCATATTGAACAATGTTAGGTAGTAATAGTGCTTTTGCACGGACTGTTGAAAACACCTGACCCCACTGTTGACTGATTTCTTTTCTTTATCCGTTATTCCTTTTGTGTATATTTTTTCAAACAAAAGCAATACCCAAAATATAATCTAACAGTAAAAAAAGCAAGTTTTTATTATAATATTTTAAAAATTTTAATGTTTATAGTAGTTTCTCTGAGTCTGTTTATACATTTTTATAAATTATATAAGTTAAATACAATAAAATTGAAGTATTGTCTTATTTCTATACTTCCTTTAGTAGATAGACAACAATTTTCTGAAATTGACAAATATTTTAATAAAAACGTGTTTTTTTTTAAATTTCTTACTTGTAATTCTAATTATTTTTTATTAGGAATGCCTCTAACAGCATGCTTCAATCTTATTTATACTGATAAAGTTACATGTATATGGTTTTACGTACAAGGTAAACATTGGAAATCTTAGGATGCGGACGAAATATTAATTTATCAATTGTAAATTTATAGACATCTTAAAATATTAGACGCTCTTTCTATTGTAGATTTCCAAAATACCCTATATTTACTGCTATTGCTCTTTTTTTTGCATGAGCACCTCGATTTTACCGAGAAAAATTTTGCTTTATCGTAGTTTTGATTTATATTATCTCGCTTTTGCGCTGCTCATTTTTTATTAAGATAACTCAAAGAAATAACATTAAACAAAGTTAATCATTAATAAATTATTTTTGATTAATTTAAATAACGATTTGTAATAGAATGTAGGTACTAATTATTCAAAATTTTTAATTATACATGAATTAAATTGTCAAATTTAATGTTGATGTTAAATTACTGTTGATAGTTACCTACATAACGAACTTATTTTATAGTTCATTAAATTTAGAACGAGTAATAACGTTTATGTAATGATAATTATTAATTTTTGATAATTAATGAAGTAATTACACAGACAAAATCAGGTGAAAAGTGTTTCAATATGTATAAAGTACGATAGAAATAATTGCAGACGTGAGAAAACTATGCGCATTGGTTTGTGCAAATTTAAAAAAATCAAATCACGTCTCCAGTTATTCTTGCTGCTCTGTACCCACAGCTAAACAAGAACGAAGCACATTTCTACCTGATCCGTATAACATTTACGTAAAACTATATAAATCAAAAGAAAAATTAATGCTTTTGCGTGCGCATGTATTTATAATGCTACTATAGTCGTTCGTTCGAATAGCTTTTACAAGTTTTTACTAAAGTATTTTTCATTTTATGGGTCGCATAGACAAACTGGACAGCTCGTTTTCGAGATCGAGATCGTCATCGATGAGCTCATTGGAGAACATCACCTCCGAATCGATCCAATGCCTCGCCTTCGTCGATTCCTACATGAAAAAATCCGGTAATCAACAACTGTTTCCAACAAAACCGCTTTACAAAACCGTTTTTTTATTATATTTCAGAACAATCATTAACCCCGACTCTATGGGTAGGAACCAGTCTGGGCTCGGTGATAACGATTTACATAACACCACCAGACGCCGATAGTCGATCTTCGCAACCGGTGGTCGTCTCTTTAGTCGGAGCCACCATTTTCAGACTGAAAGGATCCATTTTAACCATGTCATTCCTCGACTGCAACGGGTCCCTCATACCGTACTCCTTCGAATCCTGGAGGGACGAACAAAGAGAGAAGCGAGACAGTAAGATTTCTTGCACCTCCAGTCGAACATCGGATGATTAAGTGAAGATAAAACGCGTTTTTTCTTAGGAACACCTACGAGAAACAACATTCGGATGAGCCCCACGCTGGGAGGTGGAGCGGAGAGCGTTCGAAGCGACAATCTGTCGGATAGACAATTCGTGGTGATGGCCAGCGAGAAGCAGGCGAGAGTGGTCGCGTTGCCATCGCAAACGTGCGTCTACCGCCAGCAATTAGCAGACGCCGATTTCGTGGTGAAGGCCGAGGTCATATCTATGAGGGGTGAGTGCTTGCCGATGGGGAATCGTAGAGGGCACGATTGATATTTGGAACGTCGTGGTTTGTTTTCAGATAGCGTATGCTTAGCCTGTTACGTGTCGACCGGGCATTTAACGGCATACAGCTTACCCAGCCTAAGGCCGCTCATAGATATCGATTTTTTACCTCTGTCGGAGCTTAGGTGAGATTTTTTTATCCGAATGATCGTTCCCAATCCTTCAGGTTCTGTGTTTTCGAAAATGATTTAATGAAAAAAAAAGACACTGATTAGCTATCGCCGCACCGTTGTTTTTCTACTGTGCTTATACAATAGACATCGTTTTTGAAAATTTTACGAAAATATTTGCGTTCATAATGAAGAAATTTGGCTATTTCTTTTTTTGAAAACGATGTTTTGTCACAGCACGGCGGTTTTCAGCATTGGTCTTTTTTACCGTTCAAAAAGATTTTTCTGCATGCTCGACAATTTGTATAGAATTTACACCTTATTTAAATTCCAAATTAAATAACGAAACACTATAAATATTTTATGTATGTAGATGGGATTATAATGTTTCTAAATGTAGTGGTCACGAACAGGCGATTAAAAGTTGTCTTATGCATTTTAATTACATACATACCTACGTTGAATACTATTTATTCCATAAAATAATTAAGAAATATCGATTTTTCGAATAATTAGTTTCTCTAATTACCAAGTCCATAAAATCAACATTGAAATATAAATGTGAAGGAGAAGGAATTGGAAAAAAGACACCAAACTATTTGGTGGGCGAAGTTGAGATTTTAAATACCACAATTTATATCTTCGAAAATATGGCGAAGGAACAAGATAAAAACTCCAAAATTTTAGATGCAATTTATGGTGTAGGGTATTTAATACAAGGCAACTTTTAATCTGCACGTTTATAGCCCACCCTTTAAATACACACAAATAATTACCCATTAGCAAAACTAATTACGTTGATCCCTACATTTAAACTTAATTGTCCACTAACTTAAAGTGCTCGTGGAAGAGCGCTCATAAATGTCTAACCTCTTTAAATGTTAGGAGACTGTCTCTAATCTGATTTTTCTAACACCTCTTCGATGACCTAGTTGCTTCTAATCTACCTGTGTTACCCTGCTAGTTTTCAGACACAATCTAACAAAGGCATAGTAGACCCAATGTTATCGATTTGGGGCCAACAACTCATTGTAAACGAGGATACTGACCAGTAAGTTTTCAAACATTTGGTCTAAAAAATGTTCGTGCTTATTATGAATAAGTAAACCAGTAATAAGTAATATTATAGAAGTTTTGGAAAATATCTCGGCATCAGTAAAAAGTGTCAAATAATTATAAGTGAGAGAAAACGTGAAAATTAACTAGAAATATGGATTTACATTTATAACTGTTTGACACGAATTCAGCTGAAGTAAATGTAAAAATTTGCGAACGTCTCTAAAGCATCAGAATGAGTAATATATTGAGTAAACGTTGAAGAAAAATGCAGTATAGTGATAAATGTGCAAAGTAAACAGGTATATTCACCATTTTTATACTGTGGAAATCATAAGGAATCAAAAGCACAACGAACACACTTTTCCATTTCCGAATTATTAGCTTGGGCACAATTTTACTTGCACTGCATTTTGAACGAACAGCATGAATCTCTTAGGAGTTCTGTCAGCTCTGTTTTTTACCTTTTTCGTCTGGAATTTAAATTTTATTCTTTCCGAAAGAAATCTCAGTTCTGCCTTTTTATTCCAGAATCAAGTAAATTCAACATTTTACATATTGATTATTTAATAATTTAAAGGCGGAATGATGGTTTTTTCGTTTCCTCTATTTATATCATTAATAAAACAAAATTTTCAAAAAAAAAATTGCATGATTTTTTACTACAATTTTAACTTTTTATTAATGGGTAAGTTTATTCATCATTAAATTTGCTTACTAATTGGCATTCATTCATTATATGGAGTTGACTTGGTAGCATTTTGTCTATCCAGTTCAATTATTAATCGTTGTTTTAATTAACCTTTGTTATTTTTCTGTAAGTAACCACAAAACTATTTCTACTTTTAATCGATCGAAGACAAATTTCCAATCAATTCGAAATCGACCCTTCTCAATTTCCCGGATGTTCTAGAATCACGAGGACGTTCAACTTTAGCAACAGAGGACACGGATTGTACTTAGCCTCGCCGTCGGAGCTGCAAAAATTCACCTTATGCAATGAATTTTGGTAAGTCACCCATCAATTCTAACCTTCTAAAGCGCGCTAATTCGTACGTGCCGCAGCTCGAACCTCACCGAGATGATCGGTGAACTCTTCCTGCCGATGGAAATGCCCGAGCCGCCGAAAGAGGGCTTCTTCAAGGGACTGTTCGGCGGAGGGATAAGATCGCTCGATAGAGAAGAGCTATGTAAGTTTCATCTACAGGAATCGAGTAGTGGAATGATGTGTATGAAACGCTGGTGGTTTATTTCAGTCGGGGAATCGAGCGGGAAACCGAGCAAAGCGGTGGCGAAGCACATTCCCGGCACGCTCACTGACCTCAACCAGAGAGCGACGACGGCAAGCAGCGAGGTGAGCAGGGCCCACAAGCTGATGCTGGAGCGCGGCGACAAGCTCAACCAGCTGGAGGAGCGCGCCGAGAAGATGCGAAACGAAGCCGAGAATTTCTCGTCGTCGGCGCACGACCTAATGCTCAAATACAAAGACAAGAAATGGTACCAGTTGTGAAGTGCTTGTTTCCTCATTTTGCGTTCTTACATTCCATTATGGCAAATAATGGTTGAATTATAAAGAAACTGTACAGTTTTTCGTACTAGTGGTAATAGTTTGTAGATGAATGAGTAAGTAATTGATCTCTCTTTTTTTTTCCGCGATAAAGTTTCACCGCCTTCTCCGTCCTCCGTTTGTATTCTTCCCCACTTCAAATTAGTGCTTGTAACTCCCTAAAACTTCATATTCTTCCTTCGAAATCCTACTTTCGACAGCGTTTTCCTCCGAGCGAGATTCGTTACTTACTAATTCATAATTTCTTGAACATAAATGCAAATTGTGATATTCTACTTCTGGCCGCATAAGGACAGATTGCGATAACTTTTAATTAGAAGTACCTAACATTGATTTGTTACGAGGTTCGCGAACCTACAAAAATTCACTGGCATACTTGACGTATGTTTGTAGAGTAGAGAAATTTTGAAACGCTTTCGTGTAAATTTCTAGTAGAAAAATTCGTTCGTGTTTGGATCGCTCACGATATGAACTATCAAACCGCAGTTATAGTTTTCCAGAAGTATTTATAGTTCTCCAATGAAAGTTTGAATATCAGACTAGTAACTAATCAGTAGTTGAGCAATGGTTAAATTTGTATAAAAAATACCACTTGAGCAAATATACTGATTGGTTTTTATACTGGTCAAATAGTCATTGGGAATAAAATTCTTTCCATTAAAAGGTTGTATCATTTATGTAGCTTTATTTAGAAACTAGGAAAAGAAGTACTGCTCAATTTTTTTTAATTGATAATCCAACCAAAATTTCGACCTGATTTTAGAAAATCCCTAAAGTATTGTAGGTCTTCCTATTTTCACCTATTACTCATTCTTCGCACATCCAAAATACTTCTATATGCACATAGATTCTTCCTAATTTATTTCTATGCACATTATTTTTATTTTGCGGGCGTTGATATCGTTTGCGATCACTATAAGTGCATAAGATTTATTCGTTTATACTTGGAATTGAAATTATTTTAATCACTGCACATTTCGAAAGTATTTTTCGTTCGTATATACAAGAATTTCACTGAAGAGGAGTTTTAAGAGATGAATTTATACCAAATTTATCGAATGCGTAGATTGGCTTATTTAATTGTGAATTTAAAATATTTCCGAAATGTCTGGAATAAATTCTGCATGTATATAAAAAGCTATAACCGTAGAGAAACCATAATTAATGTAAATATGTACTAAAAAAATTTGTTCTTTTTATCTGATAAAAAACATGTTATAAGTATTTGGAAGACAATAAGGTGTAAATGTTTCTTTAAAGGTACACGTTCATTCCTCCGATGATTTTATTTACACCAAACACGATTTCTCTGTAAATTTTTCGCGATTACAAAAAAAACCGACGAGGCATATCAGAAAGAGTACCTATAAGAGGAATGTTCTTTATTATAAAGATGTTGACGCGACATGTAGTTTATCTTATATTTTATACAAATGGAATTATAAAGTTTACGGAGAAAACTGAAGTTTTTCGTAATGATCTACGGCCGGTTCGCTTAATTTTTTTAATAACTGCAGTAAATGGATGAATTTTGTATTTCTATATACAGGGCGTTCTGCATAAGTACCGACACAAAGTAAGGGCCTGTAGGGGAGCTTTAAATATGTTGTTTAATAACCTTTAATTTTAAAAACCAAAAGAATTAAAAAAGTTTTAAATTGAAATTACCTATAAAATGATCTACATAATAATTTTTTAAATCATCAAACAGGTATAAAAAATTCTGTAAAGTTGTAAGGGAGCATCATTCCTGATGAGCCCTTTAAATTAGATCAATTGATCTGTTTTAAATTTAAACCGAGATATTAATTTCTTTTGTAACTCCACTTTGAAAACCTTATACAACATATTTTGGGCACCTCTACATGCCCCTACTGTGTCGGTTCTTATGCGGGACACCCTGTATATTTATCTACTATTATAATAGATTTTAATAGTCCATATTAAGTGCTATTTCAGTTTTTCTTTTTTGAAATTTATACTTCACCATTTTAACAATGTTTTCCTATAGATTAAGCAAAATTAAATAATAAAAATTAAGCAAACGGTTCGTAACGTTATATATAGCAAGCACAATTAATTTTCAAGTACACTTTTGAGCCGTCAACTTTACCATTTTCGCAATATCGAAAATGATAAACGCCAGACGGGCGCAAGGAACCCTTCTAATTGTTTAAACGTCTTCCTATTTCCCCATTATATATTGCCAAATGTACCTATAACCACTTGAAAATCAAATAAAGATGTGAATATGTGTTAGTAGTTTTATAGATGAAAATTCGGTTAGTGACAAATGTTATAATTTTACTTGTCTATGGTGCACTGAATGAGCTGTGACAGTAGAAGAAATGAATATACTAGAATGTAGCTGTTTAACGTCAATTTTTCGCTATATGAAATGGAATTTACTTTATTGTAATAATTCTGTGTCCATCTCATTCAGATTTAATTTTCGAATAAAATATTGTATCCCGACAGTCTGCATACAAAAGCGTTATATTTATTATTTATTCGTAATTGTATAAAAACCACCGTTTTTTTAATATTTGCTTGTTTCATTTTAGTTGGCTTACAAAGTAAACAATAAAATAATAACATCCATTACGGATGTAAATTTTGTTATAAATATGATATTTTGAAGCAGATTGTTTAAAGGGCTTTAATTGTAATATGGAAAATTTAAATTTTCGTTAATTTTATTATTCGGAAGTGGGAACAATTGTTATTATATATTGAGAATATATTATTGTATAATAAATAACGCTTGATTTTGAAATGTCCTGTTTTTGTGATAATTTATAGAAATATTTAGTTCCCATTTCATTGTAACTTGTTAAGCTATATTAGTGAATAAAAAAGTATATTACTGTTCTATTAATAAACGAGAATTTGTTTACGAGATACATCTTTTATTTATCTTTCCCTGTGAACCTCTTCCTTTCTGGATATCTTATATTTAACTAGGTTTTTTTTGGTGCAATTTCAAGTCAACGTGCATTAGGATTTCAATGGTCTCGAATGCTTTCTTTTAACAAAATTCACTTTACTCACTATTTTTAACAAATTACGCCATATAAATAAAAGTATTTATATCATCGTCGTCCCTCCTCATATACTTATGCTCGATCAGCCACTCCAATTGTTCCTTTATCATCTTCTTCGATGGCAGAAACATATTCTTCAATATGTCGACTAATTCAGTTTGCAAAGCGGCATTCGTAATCCTCTTGCGCATTTTCAATATCTTAATTATCGCCTCTTGGGTCCTCAAAATCCTCAGATGAACTATCGATTGGTTGTCCTCTACTTGCGACCGCTCAGTGCTCAATTGCAAACGTCCTACCAAATTAACCTAAAACAAATTATTCCCAATTAATTATCTACAGACTATATAGAAATAGCTAAAAACGAGAGAGTACGGTACCTTTCCTCTTTTCTGGAGCTTTCCGTTCTTAATCAAAGCGAAATCCTGATTGATCCAGAACATGGTGTGCTCGTTGAAATCTTTCAAGGCGGCGACAGCCGGGGAAAATAATAACAGCTGGCGCTTTAATTTCGGAAACGCTACTAGAGACCACAAAGTCCTTCTCAGCTCACCGTCCGGCAATTCGGTGGCCAATCTAAGATTCTCGTAACTAATTTTATCGTTCTGCCTTTGGTTCCAAGCGAACAGTACGGCCATTTGGAAAGTGGTAACGTCCAAATCGAATTTACCGCTCGATGTAGCAAATGTAATTGTTCCGTTGCTCATATGGTGATACCTAAAACACGAAATAAGTACTAAGAAATAGTACGATAGATATAATAAAGGTTTGGTTACCATTGAAGTTTCCTTCCGGAATGTTTCTTCTTGTAAAATTCTTCCACTTCGGGTATGTAATCCTCCAGTTCGACCGGTAAACTGACGGTGACGCGTTCGGAACCTCTTGCCCAGGCGCCGGCGTTTAAAATTTTGATATTAATAGCGTCGTGCCGAGCCGTAGACGCTCTGAACTGGCAATTCAGATCTTCGCTAACTTTGATATCTTGAAACATTCGAGCCAATTTGTTCACGTAGTCGGCTGGCATGCCCACTTCGCGGAGCCATTCTACCATGTCCTCTTCTTTCTCGCTATCCGCACTGTAACAATTAAATATTAAATAACGGTATTCGGTCGATAGAAGCAGATTTTTACCTAGCGTCTAAAATTAATCTCCTCGTCAGATGAGCCTTGTGATATCTCATAAAAACATCCTTATTTGACACATACTTTAACACTAATAATACATCTTTCAACCTAGATTCAATCTCTTCACTAGTCAGCCTTTTCGATAATGGAGTCCTCCTCAATAACATATCGCAATAATTCGCTAATAATTCTGGACATTTGCTTTCAGGGGCTACGGTTTTTCCTCCAGCGTTTCTCCCTGTCGCTAGTTCCAATCTAAAACGAACTGTGCAGTGATTTCATTTAAAATATTTAACGAAATATACCTAAACACCGTTGTATCATTAACCACTGCTTTGAATGCCTTATCTCTAGCCGTTAGAAACCTTGGATCGTCAGAAAATGCATCGTGTACTAGCTTACTAAATTTCCTGAATAATTCTAAAAGACGTTCAACGTATTTTTCCGAATCCTGAGTTATGATGTCTGCTGCATCGATCATATCAGCTAGACCTGCTTGAGTGATATGATTCTCCAATTCCCTTAACATAGGTTGGACTCCTTCTGGTACTCTCTCCAGCAACCTAAAGGCAAACAGCAAACCGATAAACTAGTACAAATCAATTAATTACATAGTAATAATTACCTAAACATCAACTGTAATCTTTCGGTTTCGCCTGCTTTAATTAACGGAGCACATTCCGCTAACAGCACATGTAAAGGGTTTCCCACTAGTACTTTAACGCAACATTGTATGACAGCATTGCTTCCTGCTTCTAAGTATCGTTGAGCTCTAGCCTCTTCTTCTCTCAATTTAGCGTCTGCGTACCTCATGTACGCTTGTACGCCGTTAGTAGCCAGCTGTTCGGGAGCTTTCAATCGATAAAACAGATCCGTGCTTTGTATGTAGGCTGCCTCAAAGTTTTCTCTGTATATTTGAAGTCGGTCGTCCGCATTCGAACACAGATTCACATACGATTCCCTAACGCCTGTTAAGTAAAAGACAATTGTAACGAGAACTAACTAAAGAATGATAATGTGTACCTATTACTAATTGCGAGTCAAAAGCTTCTCCGTTCCTTTCCGCATGCACCAATTTCATAGCACTATCTTGTAACCTATGCTTAATATCACTGAATATACTTTCGTTCCATGAATCCAACATTAATTTTCTCACAATGCTTTCTTCCCCTGGGGTTTTCTTTCCACTGTTATTCTGTATGGTTGAATTACCAGAGGCTGGTTTGCCCTGTAATAATATGTTTAATGCAAATTCATAATTGGTTAAGTATAGGTTACCTGTAAACTGCTCTCTAGCTGTCTAAAGGGCGTGGGTAGATAATTAGACTGGGTGAAGAATTTTCTCCATTCCGCAATATAAGCCTTCAGAAGCGCTTCTTCTTGTCTATGTGCTAACACTCTAGATTGAGCCTGCTTTATAAATTGCACAATATCGTCGTGTAAATTGTCTCTAAGTTTGGCAGGGCCTTTTTCATCCCAAAGACACACCAAATGAACGTCATAAAACAGTTCTTGCCATTCTGCAGGTGAAACTGGTTCTTGTTTTAACAGTTTCAAAACAATAGGTTCCATAAAAGGCCATTTATTTTCAAACTTTAGCTGTCCTTTTTCCTGCAATGTAAATAGAGCGTATTTACGAGAAATATTAAACACTAGATTTTCAGAACTATTGTACACTACAGCGAAAATATTTATAAACAAGCCTTACCTTAAGCATGTTAGGTTAGATTCGAAGTGTATACTTTCATAAAAATGTATTTTGATAACACTTATCAAATTGTTTTCGAGTCCGAACGTGTTTGAATTTTCATATTTTTTATGCTATATTTTTCTTTTAATCTTGCAAATTGCATCTGCAAAATTTGTTAATAAAATTCGGTGGTGATTTTAATCACAGAACACTGAGAACACCAGAAATATTAAAAATGGTTGTTGTTTTGTCTTTTGTCACACAAGTCATAGTTTTGTTTGTACTGTCACTGTCAAAATTGTCAATATACAAAAACGAAGAATATATCGCTGTCCCTCAAAATTCAATGTGCTAAAAGAGAACAGATTGCTATATCAAACGAACGAATCTTTCTTATTGATGTCCGAACTAATATGACATAACTGACATTGACAATTCACTGTCGATGTGCGAAGGTGGTTGCTATATTTATAAAAATCTTTAAAATTTTATAAATTTATAAAAGAAACTCATCCAAATGGCATCCCAAAAGCTTTCCTTAGCTGTAAGTAATTTGCCCATCCCTTAAATATTATAATCAGCATCTTATTGCAACTGTAAATAATATTTCATATTACATAACTCGTAAGGTTATAACAAAGTTTCATTAAACAATTTAGATTCGCAACTTCAGCACGAGCAATGCCTCGGCTCAACTAATAAAGGCCCCAATTCAAATTTTTGGAATAGAAGGCCGTTACGCGTCGGCTCTTTATTCGGCAGCCACCAAACAGAAGAGCCTCGAGGGAGTGGAAAAAGATTTGATCAAACTGCAAAGCGCCCTGAAAACCGATGACAAACTGCGGGAATTCGTAATGAACCCGACCATCAAAAGAGCTTTGAAATCTGATGCGCTGAAGGCTGTAGCGCAAAAAATTTCTCTCAAGCAAGAATCTGCGAATTTGTTGACTTTGCTAGCAGAGAACGGCAGGTTGAAGAAACTTGATACGGTTATCAATGCTTTCAAGCAGATTATGTCTGCTCACAGAGGAGAGGTAAGAATTCTATTATTCAATAAAATAGCATAAATATAGCACAAATTGGGATGTATTTTATATATAATTTTGCGGTTGTTCTTTAGGTTTCTTGTGAGGTAACAACAGCTAGAGACCTTGATGCCGATCAAAAGCAAAAACTACTTGGAGTTTTGAAATCCTTCGTTAAATCCAACCAATCCATTATGCTTGCCACGAAGGTCGATCCAACCATCATCGGAGGCATGATCGTCAGCATTGGAGACAAATACGTTGATATGTCAGTTGCTAGCAAAATTAAGAAGTACAGCGAACTCATTAGCACCACTGTTTAAATATATTGTAATTTTATTATATAAAATATAGTTATTGAGCTAGTGTGAAAATTATTTGCTTCAAACTAGCAATACCTACTAGATATTGTTCAAAACTACTACCTATTATTTGTACAAATAAAAAAATTCGTTACTTCTTCAATGTAAATTATATTACAAATAGTTGTGTAATTGATATAAGGACAAGTTGCTCGTACAAATTTTAAACAAAGTATCTTAAGAAGCTGTAAACGTCAGTCTATTTTGTTTTGCCACCGCTTTCACGTAAAACTGAAATTCGTTCTAGTAAAGGAGGATGGGAATGATACCAAGCCGAGTAAAGTCGATCATTGATAGGAAATCCTAGATTATCCTTGTTTAATTTCAAAAGAGCTCTCTCCAGTGGTTCAGATTTCCCTAATCTAACTGCAAAGTTATCTGCCTGGAATTCAAACCTTCTCGACAAGCAAGTCATTAAGAAACTGAGGAGCGTGTTGTACGGTATCATAACATATGTGCATACAACAAACAGTCCTACTAAAACAGGCTTAACATTGTAAAATCCTAAGGCTTCGTACAGAGGCGGGTATTTGAACAGAACGGAGAAGCCTAGGAACATCAAGAACAAATTGATCTGCATTAAAACCAGGTTTTTTATAATATGACTGTGGCTCCAATGTCCCAATTCGTGGGACAAAACGGCTAAAATTTCGTCATCTTGACAACCAGTGCCGTCATCCTTTGCTAGTAATGTATCGAAAAGTACGATCCTCTTTGAATTGAACAATCCATAGAAATATGCGTTACTGTGAGAGGATCGCTTTGAGCCTTCTACCACGTACAATTGAGTCAGAGGAAACTTAAGCTGAGAAGCTAGAGCTTCGATTTCGCTACGGAGCTTGCCTTCTGGAAGAGGTGTATATTTGTCGAAAAGTGGAGCAATAACTGCTGGGTAAATTGTTAATAGAATCATGGAAATGATGCAAACGACCAGCCACAACCATATGAAGAAGTACGGCCCTCCGCTTTTTATAATAACAATTATAAGGGAGGATATGGATAAAGTAATTATCTGGTTGACAAAGAACGCTTTAACTTTGTCCCAAACGAAGAAACCAGCAGTTTGCTTGTTGAAACCAAACTTTTCCTCTAATACAAAAGTGTGGTAAATTGTTAAAGGTAAATCAATTATAGTGGAAACGAGTGTCACAACAAACAACCATATACAACTAGTGGTAACTTCTCCTTTCACTGGATTTACGGAATCTGAAAAATCCCAGAAATATGCTAAAATCCCATAGTATATTATGAGCGAAGTTATAATTATTCCATGAGTATCTTTCACGAATCCAAATTTAAGTTTTGCCAATGAATACTGCCGGGCTTTTTCGAATTCATCTTTATTCACGACTTTTCTAAGAACTTCTGGAACCTCAGTAGCCGATTGAGCCTTTTTGAACTAAAACAATATAAATATGGTTGTAGACTTTTAGTAATACTATAAGGAGTCCCACATTTTCTACCCTATTGGTGCATTGCACAACATCGTTATTATTATAAAATTTGCAACTTATAAGTTTGAATTACAAGAGCAAGATAATTGATATTACAGAGATTCATTTAGGAATTACTATAAAGAAAAAAGTACCTGTCTGATTGAAAGATAAGTCTCCCACATGAATTCAAGCCATAAAAGAATTAAAATTCCATTTTTTACGACAGTGTCATCGATTATGTTGATTATATTGGATGTATCCATGATTAATAAAAAAATTACTATAGAAACTAATAGAACTTCTACAAATTTTTGCCGTCTGTATGTAACATACAAACTGAAATTAAATAACCTCAATTTATTGACATTTCATTTTATGAATGACATTTGTCATGAATTCGTTGATATATTCATGTTCGTAAAAAAGGACAGAAATAGTAATAATACATCGTTAAGACAGTGATAGATTATAAAATGAATGTGGAAATGATGGAAACAAAAAAACAAACATTCTTTTGACACATAATATGACACTTGACATTGACAGGACACGACTGACACTGACAGAGTCTGATAGATTTTTAACGGTTTCAATTCAATTTAATTTAATATTCAAGTTCGATTTTGTTGTAAAACGTTTTAATGTTAATCAATATAAGTTGTTTAAGTATAACAATTGAGGCACAATTTTTGATTACATTCGAATGTTCTAAAATGTCCAAGTCGCAGAAGCGTGCAATATCAAGCAAAATAGTAGCAAGTACCATCAAGCTAGACATTTTTAATAAATGCAAGGAAGGGAGTTTTAAAGAAGCACTGAATTGTATTAACTCTGATTTAAAGAAGCATCTTACTAAAGAAACGGTCCTATCTATTATCAAATATTGCGCCGCAGGTTGTTGTGCGAAAGATGACCTTTCTTCACCATCTTCCCTAATTAAACTTTTAACTATATTAAGACAATTTTTAACAAGTTTAGATGAACCTGAACTGGTTAATTATTTATATTCGATGTCTTATATACTGCGTTTTTTTATAAAAAAGGTATGTACTTTTTTCTTTGAGTTCTTATAGCATGAATAACTTGATACTAATACCACAACCAAATAATCTACATATTTTTTGCAGAATTTAATTGAATCTCTGCTTGAAATGGAGGATTTTATTTTGGACAATTCTCACCCACCACTGACAGACACGGGACAAGAAGTATTTTATGCAATAATGGTGACGTTAGTTAAATTGGTTATAAGATCATCGAATACTACACCATCTAATGAGAAGCAGTTACAGGAAACTATTAAATTAAGTAAATTAGTATTGAAAATGTGTACAAAATTGGATGCCAAAAAAGCGATTGATTTTCCTGTGACATGCTTATCTTGTATCATTAAAATGAATGCATCTTTGGCAGAACAAATCGAATACTGCGATTTATGTTTTGAAATGATAGATTTTTCCAAAGTTGACGCAGGAAACAACTTCAAAAATGTTGCCTCTACTTTTGTTCATTTAACGAAAAACATACTTGTGAGTCAAGAGATTAGCCGAGGAATCGAATTTTTTGACACCATTGCGATGCATTTGAAGAACAAAACGAAGAACAATCATTGTCTTAACTGTTTGGTCGATTTTTTGAAATTCTTTACTATAATGAAAGCACCAGATATGTTTATAATTATTGAGAAGAGTTTGGCTAGTTTAAAGAAATTAGATCTCGCATTGAAAGAGGCGAGTTACAAAAAGGAATTCTACTTGAATATCTGCTCTTTATTCCCAAAAATGATGAGTTATTATAAGTTGTTTCCCACAGATTTATCCAGCTTAACAGAAGACCAACATACAAGATTTCTAACTTTTTTGGTTTGTGTCAATTCGATATTCACAAAGAGTGTCTCAGATGCAGCAGATAAAACGTACATTACCCTTGTAATGTCCGGAGGAATTATTAGTGCAATTTCAATATATGCTCAGAATAAAAATTGTCATCAACGGTACCATCAATTCTGCTGTAACTTACTTAATAAATATTTTAAACAGATCAAAACGAAATTAGATCACACACATAAGGATTTGGGACAATACTGGAATTATTTCTTCGCAAAGTTAAATGATCTATGTTGTTACTTAAAAAGTGAAAAAGAAATAGCTATCCGCTACTCGCGGTTTATGATTAACCTTTTTCTGGAATTGGAAGATGTACGAGTGGAAGTAATTTTAAAACAGAAAACAATTTATTCAATATGTTACATGTTAATTAATTTGCATTCAGACGACGTTAAGAAACAGTTGGCATATTGCTCATTGGGAGTATTTTTATGTGAAAATTATTCCAAAGATTTTATGGATATGTGGGTGCAAATTAAATATCGATCAAAAGGCAGTAATGATGTTAAGGGATTAAATATATTATCCGCATTATCATTATTATATCAAGAATATCCCGACATTGATGTACTTAAGAATGATAAAATCCGTTTGTTAAATATGGAATTGTTGCATTACAATAAAAAATGGAGAAGTAAATTGCCCATAACAAATGCTTTAAATGAGCTCATACAAATTGCAGATATTGATAACATCGAAAAAGTTGTTATAAACTTATACAAAAATATGGATATACCGAATTATGATCAAGTGTTTGATATCGTTCAAAATATTATAAAGAAATACCAACAGCCAATCGAAAATAACAGGTCACGATTGAATTTATCAATTTTACACTATATTATCTACAAATGTTCTTGTATGAAGAAGGTAGCAAAGAATGATGTACCCAAAGTTATAGAAAGCTGTCCTACTAAAGTGGCTGATAACGAAGAGGCCGATGATGAAAAAACGGATTATTTTTGCGAATCTTTAAAATTCCAAGTTTTAAACGAACGTTTAAAAGATTTGGAATTATCTTTTGAATTACTGACGTTGTCTGTACCAACATTAAAACTATCAGATTTGGAACATATAGAATTAAAGGATATACACGATATATTAATGAGAATATCATTCGAATTCAAACTAATCCGTTGTGATGCAAAATGTTTGAAAACTTTAGAAATGTCGTTGGAAGTTTCAAAATTAATGAATGAACACCCTCGGATTTTAAGAAGTATCTCTCATATTATAGAACATCCAGATATTGATGAAAAGGTTCTAAAAGAACTAATGGAGCTTGCCGATGAAACACTTGGAAACATAAACGCAGAGCAATGTGAAAATTTAAAAATTATCATCAACTTTCACATATGTAAATGCAAGGCATTATTTTATAGGAACCAAGAAGAATCGTACAAATCTTTGAAAAAAATCGAGGAATTGTGCAAAAATATGGACGATCAAAACGGATCTAATCAAATAATGGGCCAACTGTACCTCTTACATTCCAAATTCGATTCCCTGCCTTGTAATTTAGCAATGGACAAACGTAGAAGTTCTGTGATCTTCAATGTTACTCGAGCAGTCAAAATCCTAACACTAGACAGTGGATCACAAAAAAATTGTATGTATTTCATATTAAATTTCTAACTTTAAATTTTGAAGGAACAAAAAAAACCTTCTAGATCTTTATAGAATTTTTTTTTCAGTACATCCTGAAAATAACCTATTGATGGTCGAAGCAATCGAAAGATTCATCATGTTCCATCATTACTTAAAGTTGGCGCGAGAATTGCATGGTCACTTGGGGGAATGCTTATCTCTTTCAAAAGGAAACTATCTACCTCCGTTTCACGCGAGATTGTTGCTACAGGGGTCCTATTCCGATCTCTGGTTGAACCGCCAGGACGAATTCCAGTACAAAATCTCATCGTTAGAGGATATTTTAAACTTCACCGAGCGATCGCTTTCTTTGAATGAGGCATCGGGCGATTGCAAGTTACCCGCTTTACACGAAAACGCCTGCGTTTGCTTCTACTGCGACAACCACGAATATCAACAACTAGTCTTGGAAACCCTGCTCTTGAAAGCCGAAGCTGCTTGTAAAAATAATTCCCTCGAATTGGCCGAGCATTTTTATTCCGCGGCCACTACCTATTTCCAACACCACGAGAATCGACCTATTAAAGACAAACTTTGGTCTACCTACGGCTACGTTCTACTCAGTTACAGTAATTTCTTGTTCATGTCCGATCGCAAAACCGAAGCCTTCAATCTCAACAGCAAAATATTGGAATCGGTGAGCGACACACACTTGCAGAACATCAATTTGTACTGTGCAGCTTTGACGCAGAGAGCGAATTATTTGTTCGAATCGCTGATGCCCAAAGTCTCGCGCGAGCAAGACGCGGAACACTTGGAAGTTTTGGAGCGCAAGCAGATTTTATTGACGCCTGATCACAAAGGAAATGCCGTTATAATCGTCACGCCGGTGGCAGCGAAGTCGCCTAAAGAATTCGAACGGAAAAAGGGCACTATTTTGCAGTTCTCCCCGACGAAAGGGGAACCAGACGAGAGGAACAAATCTGATTTGCGTGTAACTAGAAAGACGGGAGCGATACCCAAACGACTGCAGATAGCGAAATTGCAAATGGATGAGAATGCTCAGCAAGGATCGATTGGAAACGTTCTTGAGGAACTACCCGTTGTAGATAATACCAACAGCAAAACGAGCGATTTGTTGAAAAGCCAGACCAAACTGCTGACTGAAAAATTGAAGAAAGGGAAGAACGACGCGGAGAATAATACGGAGAAGAGAAGGCGCGGCCCGCGGAAGAATTTAGTCAAAGATTTTAGCGATTCGACACCGTCTAGACTGACACGAAGAAAATAAAAAAATATGTTATGAACGGGTTTCTCTTGGTATTTGTTGGTTCTTGTCTATTTTTATCCGATGTGTTCATTGATTATTTAGAAATTTATCTCAAAAATATTTTTATGTACAAATCGGTTTTAAAATTTAATACGATCTGTGATAGTTTTTTCAAAAAGTCTAACATTCGATTTTGATGTAAAGAAGTACCTTAAAGACTAATTATTGTAATTAATGTTCATGTACAAATTTTTTTCCAAAAAATTAAAATACTTGCAGGGATGACGTGTTAATGTATTACTCATATTATCAATAACTATTATCTTGGGTTTATTTTTATCATATAACTTAATCTTTGTATTTTTTTGTTATGTCAATTAATTGAACAAATTATTTTAACTGGGAATTGTAGTATAATATGTATAGTACATAAATATTGGTGTAATGCAGTGTTTTAATAAAATTTGATATTTTTGACTATTTTTACAGTATCCCAAAAAAGTATTCGTACATTCGTATTATAATCATTAGACGTGTTATTTAACGTTTAATAAATATACAAGTGAAAAAACAATTAACAAAACAAAATCTACATCTACATTCGTACAGAAACTTTTTATCAATTTCTTCACCCTGAAGATATTAAATAGTTTATTGTTTTGGCCGAAATATTAGTATTACGTTCAGCTCCTAGTTTTGTTTTCAAAATAATTCAAGTTTACCTTAAAATGCCTAGAAAAACTGCAGAAATAGATGGTGACTTAAAAAAAGTCATCATCCAATCATTATATTATACCTACTACCTACATTATCCACGTAAATGCAAAATTGTTTGCAATATGGTCAAATCTATACCACACAATACCACTCTTTCTTTTTCCTTCATATAAGAGTAAGTTGTTTTTGTTGCACTCATTTATATATGCAAACAATTTTGCATCTACCTGTATGTAATTTTTTTAAAGAAAAGCGAATATAATCTTGTAATTTGGATTAATTTGGATTATTTTGGTTGGAAAAAAAAGTTCTTGGTATTATTTATGTTTGTTTGTACTACGTACTATAAGTGCCTGTAGATCTTGATTGATAGGCTATAAATTCTGCTAAAGCTGCTTAATAATGTTATCAACTAATAAGTCGGTTTATAAAGAAAAGATAGTAAAGAAATATAAAAAGAAATTAGGTCATAGGACACCTCAGTTTTTATTTGCGGATTGAATAGTATTTAAAGATATTTTTTAGTGTGTCAATTTTGTAATTGTAAGTTTTATTTAATGATTAATTGATAGAAGCAGTGTTTAAGTTTTCTTCTACTAATTTTTGACTAATAATTTTCCACAAGAAATTGAAATTTTTTTAAATTTTAGTGACCAACAATGTCTTCCACTATTCGGCATTTGTTGACTATACTATTCTTCGTGTCTTTCGTGAATTCCCAAACGAATTTTCGCTTGCCAAAGAGCGTTCTTCCACAACAGTATAATTTATTAATCGATATAAGAAATATACAAGACAGAGATAATTTCCGTGGAGGTGTTACTATAACAATGGATGTCGTAGAACCAACCAAAAATATAGTTTTACATTTTGGTAGAACATTACGATTACTTTCGAAACCCTTATTGCAGAACATAAGTGATATAAATGTTAAAACTACCACCGATACTAATGTAGAGGTTTTAACAATAACTGATGCTAATGGAAACAGTAAGTATACTTAACGGTCCTTTTAATCTATTTAATTACTCCAAATAGTGCTCGTTTTAATCCGTAATCGATACCTATACCTTCAATATTTTTAAAATCGAATAGGATGAAATTAATTAAAATATTATTAACTATTTCCTCACACTCAACGGAAATTCCCGTTTAATAGTATTATTCCCACACGTTGACCTGCTCAAGGACTTTGCTTCCATATAAATACATTTAAAACAACGTAAATACCAGTTTATTAATTTTTACCAAAATGAAAGTAGCGCTTATATGTTTGTGTTTAACAATAATCTTGCTAACAAGTGAAGCAAGTATAGATATTCAAGCAATTCGAAATTGCAATAAAAATGCCAAAATTACGAACAAATTTTACACAGTAATAGACCGGTTTTTTAAGCCAAAAGTAAGAGGAACACTGAAAAAACTAGGACCCAGTGGATCAATCCAAATACATGACAAGTTTATCTACGGAGAAGTGGATATAATAGAAAACACATTAACGTTAGAAAATGGAAGAGTTCTTAATTATGACAACAACGATTGTGTGCATTCAAAGAGACAAAGAATATTATCAGTTTGCTCGGATTACATCGAATACGAAACCATTTATTATGCAGGACCTGTGACGGAATTGATTAAAGAAGATGGAGCGAAGTTTATCCTATTTTCAAAACGGAATAACGACTACGCATTGCCGTTGCTCGAAAACATTGAGAGATGTGGAAGAAATATGTGGATAACTAAGAATGATGCTCTAATTTATGAGACTAGTGATCCAAATGATTGCTATGAAAATAAAGATTTGCCTAGGTTCAAAGCCTCAAGTAATTTATATTTAAAAAAATTGACTTGTTTGTGATGCTGAAATTTTGTTTATATTTGTTAATGATATCATCTCATAATTTGGTACAAGATACGAGTATAATGAATAAATAAATAATACAGTTTTTACGCTTGTTTTAATTGATTTATAAAAAAATATTGGCGACCTTTGGAAAAGAAATAATGACCTTATATCAGCGGGGAAACTACAGAGGACCTGCAAAAAACTGCCCGCAATCAAAAACAACAACAAAATAATTGATTTATGAACATTTCCGTATTAAAGAGCATCAAACTATTGTAATATAGGTATAATGATTTTTTTTTATTTGCAGGCACTATACAAAATCTAAGAAATATAAAAAAAATAATATACTTTCTGCTTCCAGCATAATAATAATATTTAATTAGATGGCCTAAATCTATTTTATGTGTTTAGATTTTGAAAAAGGCTCATACACATTATCAATTCAGTACGAGGCGGCTATAAGTACTTCTATCCTCAATGGGATATACAGAAGCAGCTACATAGATAAAGAAAACACTAAATATATTGTTGCCACCCAATTTCAACCAACATTTGCCAGACGAGCTTTTCCTTGTTTCGACGAACCGGAATTTAAGGCGATATTCAAACTCACATTCATGCCTCCTCAAGGCATAACCGTAATAACCAATACCAAAAAGGAAAAAGAAAGGTAAAATTGCGATAGTTTCATGTGTATACCAAATTAATCGACATTTTTTCTAATCTCCAATTTTTTGGCAGTTCAATTGGTACGATGAGAACCATCGAATTCGCCGAAACGCCGAAAATGTCCACGCACATGGTAGCATTCGTTGCATCGCAATTCGATTGCACCGCATCCACAACAACAGTGCAGAGCAGCGTGTGCTCGGTGAATCGGCCCGAAGAGGAAAGACAATTAGCGGCAGAAGAAGCACCTGGACTGCTCCAAGCGCTAATTCAATACACCGGAGTGAATTACGAAGATAACAAATTGGAGCACGTTGCATTGCCCGATCTGCTGGCTGAAAGTATGGGACACTGGGGATTAATCACCTACAGGTAGATATGATTGATGTGCTGTTGAAACGGTATTAGAAATGGTACTTTTAGGGAAGACAATTTATTGTATCATCCTGAAAAATCGAGCAGCATCGACAAGCAGAAGGTGGTTGGTTTTCTAGCTCACGATATCGCTTATCAGTGGTTCGGAAATTTGGTTACCCCGACATGGTGGTCGGATTTGTTTTTAAACGAAGGCTTTGCAAGATATTTCGAAAACATCGCCATTGAACAGGTAAAACGTTCATTAAGTTCACTAAAGTTTATTTTTAATGTTGTTAAATATTGCTAGACTCACCCCGATTGGCAAATGGATAAACAATTCGTTATTAATACCGTTCAAAAAGCTTTGAGAAACGACGAAAGTGCTGCTTTTCCTCTTCAACAAAGCCTTTCCGATATTTCATCGGTGTTTAACAGCGTCACTTATTTAAAGGGTGTGTATTTACAAGTTCTAAATTTATTTATTTATTACACGTTTAATTTATAGGTGGAAGTATTATTCGAATGGTAGAACATGTGTTAGGCGCAGATGCGTTTAAAAACGGTGTATCAGCATACATTAAAAACTTGTAAGTATACATTTTTCAAGCTTTAGAAAACCTAATGTGACTCTATTTCCAGCCAACATAGCACCACCTCACCCAAAAATTTGTGGGCTGAATTAAATAAAATCTCTAATTTGCCTTACGATTTACAAACTGTAATGGAGAATTGGACAAAACAGCCAGGCTTTCCTCTATTGAACGTTACCACAGAAAATCGGCAAGTAACTGTTACTCAGGTTTGTAATTTACCGCATTTTTAATCGACCCAGCACTTACCGTCTGTAATCTACGATAGAAACAAATTTCATCTAATAATGATTTGACCACGCAATGGTACGTTCCCATTACATACACGACTTCCGCAGATGAATTTAAATTCCAAACAACCAGCCCACAGCTTTGGTTGACACCGAATGACAATGCAGTGAAATTTAATCTACCAGACGGCGCTGAGTGGCTTGTTTTGAACAATAAACAAAGCGGTTTGTAAAAAATTTTGTCTATTATATTTCGCAAATGGAACAAACAATAAAAACCGGACTACAAGTCCTGTAATGACTGTACTATATTAGCCTGATTTGGGTCGGTGTGACTTCAATCAACATCAAATTTCTTAACAATTTCCAGGTTTTTACAGGGTGAATTACGACGAAGCTGGATGGGATTCAATAGAAGTGGCTTTGAAATTGGATAATTTTGGAGGTATAGGAGAGTTGAATAGGGCAGCGATTGTAGACGACTTATTCAGTTTGGCTAAATTAAACGTGGTTACTTATTCTAGAGTGTTCAAACTGCTTGAATTTTTGAAAAACGAGGGTTCATACTATACATGGTCTTCTGCTTTTGAGGGATTTGGTTACATATTGGATAGGGTTGGATTGAATTCAACGTTAGGCGATTACGTTACGGTAGGTTTTTAATGCGTTAGCACTTCAGGTATTAATCTAGCATTTACATTCCAGAAATTCGCGTTAACTCACATGGAGAAGTTCTATAACTCCACGCCATTCCAAAATATTCAAGAAGATGATCAAATATTCACCTTGAAGCAAAATTTAGCGCACAAATGGGCATGCATTTTAGGCCATACAGATTGCATAGATAAGTCGAAGTCGCTATTTAAGGCATTTAATATAAATCTGAAGAGTACTGTAATTTGTTCAGCTTTAAGAGAGAGTACTGTTGATTTTGAATGGGATTTAGTTTGGTCGCACTACGAAAAATCAACTATGGTTTCAGAAAAAAATATGTTTTTGGAAAGCTTATCGTGTACTAAGAAAACGGAACAACTTAAAACGTAATTATTACAGCATGTATTTATATGATTAATTCAGTAATTTTTTACAGGTTATTGAATTTGACGTTACAAGACACATTTAAAGGCCAGTACGGTTTGTTCTTATTCAGCAAAGTTTTAAACAATCCCTACGGAGTGGATTTAGCTTTAGAATTTTTCTTCGAAAATTATGAAAAAATTTTCCTGAAGTAAGAAATATTTATAACATATATCAAAAAGCCAATATTTTACAATAATTCTTATTAATCTTGCAGATATCAAGACATTAACTTGCGATCATCCATTTTACAATTAATAGGTAGTAAAATAACCACAGCTGAAACTTATAACAAGGTATATTTTAATTCAAATAATAATACTGCATATTGTTAAAAATTACTATTTATTTCTAGTTGAAAGACTTTGTAACTACCAATTTATCGAATTCACAAGAAGGTCAAGAAGCCCTAAATATAGCTGAAACGAATAAGAATTGGTTGAAAAGATCCGGAGAGAATTTATTGAAATATTTTGAACCCCCAATTAAAAATGCGGCAACCATACCAGCCAGTTTTGCCATTTTTCTGCTACCTATTTACATTATTTTTGTTTTGTTTAATTAAATTATAGATAGAATGAATTATAAATAACTTATTTTAATTATTTTTACTACTAGGCAAGGATTGTAAGGCGATAGATTAAAAATTTGTAGTTTCTGTGTTAAATAAAATCAATAAACGAACAGTATTTGTAGTATTGGGAAATGACGGTTAGAGAGCGCTACTGGTTTTTACGTTTATTAAATTCTACTATTTATATTCAAATGAATATATCGATAATAAATATGCCCATGTCATAAAATTGTTATTCATTCGGAGTCGTCTTGTGCCGGTTTGGAAATAACAATTTTTATTTTTTTATGGTGCATTCTATTTCGATTTTTCCTAAATCATTTTTATCTCTCGTTTAAATTGAGTAAAATATTGGTGATGTGTAATGAGTAAAAATAGGTAGAAATGTTAATTTTTATTATAACATATGTACGTATTATATTATCTACTTTCGTTGCAACCCTTAGAGCCTTTAACTCTTTCTTCCTGATTCTCGAACGATCCTTCAATATAAAACCATCCTGTTCCGAAGACTGATATGTTCCTGAGGCGCCCGTCTCGTCGAAGGTATCATATCGTACGCCCAAGGTTCCGTCGTACGAGATAAGTATTCTAAATTTCTTCTTATTGGCGTTGCAAAAAAGATTATCGGCAGTGTTGTTCGGTAAAAAAACAAGATTTTATGTTGCACATTTCGACGTGGGTGCACGAAAATAACTACTTTTTTTGCTCCTGTCGTTAGCGGATAATGGTAATGGGCAGGATAATGCAAAAGGGCAATTTCTCGAGCTAATTTTTGTTAAGTAAAATTCAAGTAAGTACACAAGCTATAATTTAATAATTAATGAACAGTTTTTAATATAAGGCAAAGAAGGTTGTAGTTTGGATAAGTATACCCGTACTTACAGCGTTGCTGATTATATTAAAAAAATCATATTACAGTGTAATTACAAATAATTTTTCTCATGTAGATAAGTGGTAAATATTTAAACGAAATTCAATATTAGATAAGTTAGTGCTGTTGTTGTTTGTTGTTTTTATGCGGGCGGTCTTTCCAGCCCCGTGACCACCTAGATCTAATGATCCTCTGTAGTTTCCCGCTGTTTCCCAAGGTCATTGATTCTGCCAGAGGTCGCAAGTATTTGCAAACCTCAGCAGTTCGGATGCCCTTGTGTTTTTGAGATCGCTAGGATCTAATGAGGTCCTTCCCCAGGTATTATACCTGCGCAAGGATAATGCTGGACAGTGACACAGTATGTGTATGCTGTCCTCATCAGCCTCCCCACATAGACGGCATGTTTTCTGCTCTACTATTTTGAGGCGGTATAGGTGCGCTCTGAGTGCTACGTGTCCTGTGAGTAGTCCAAGCGTTTTGCTCAGCCTGTCACGGTCCATAGCCCAGAGCTGTTAGTTAGCCCAAGTTAGTGCTTATGTTTGGGTATAATTATTCCAGAATTATTTCATAAACATAAATCAATTAACTACTACATCTAATGTACCTATCATATGTTCTTTTCGAACTTATCCTGAGAAGAAAAATAGTTTAAAGAGTAACTAAATAACCGAAGTAATCAAATAACTAAACATGCGTGAACTGAATTTTATATTTGGTCCACATGCCATATCGGTCAAATTGACTCACCGCATCGTTGTGTAAGTTACTCGATTGAAGCTAGAAAAGGTATTATTGGAAATACCTTGAGACTCGTAGTCTTTAAGTTAGTTTTGAAATTCATACCAAATATACAGGGCGATACGAAGAACGTTTGAAAAATAATTTTTTTCATACCTAAATTGCATTCTTAAATGGGAAAGTTGATTTCGTAATCGCCAATTACATTGGGTGATAATTTTCTCGGCGTCGCTCTGGTAGGAAAAATGAAAATAAAAGTTGCGTTGGGTTTTTAAAACGTTTGCCGCACTAACCGAATTTATAGCGGTAATTTTGGAATCCGTGGTTTCCGGATGAAATTCATTTTCGCGCTACATTCACCTCGACGAATGTTTAGGAAATGGAAAAGATAATTATTGTCGCATAAATGCGGCGAAATAAGGTCGTTAATCCTCCGGAAAATATTTTCGAACGCCTTTTTTCTCCGGCCGTTCGGTGCCTATTTTATATTCCGGATTTTCATCCAGGAATAGGTATCTCCGGTTTTAGGTAAACTCTCCAAAACGAGGGTTTATCAGGCGAAACTTCGCCTGTTAGTGTCAATTCGATATCCCTTCAAGAATCGAAAGGACTTTTCGTCTCATTTAAATTTCAAATTCTCCCAACGAGATAGCACCTTAAAAATTTTTCATTAACGTCCTTTTAATAGCTATCTGAATATTTAGTGCTTAAATCTGACCTAAAAAGAACGAGATGAGAACAATATTCGACGTGAAACGCAGATTATTTTCGCTTGCTTAAACGATGTCTTATATCCACGGTTTATTTTCAAATTCCCGTAAAACTGCGATTACACATCTATTTTTCTTCAGTTACATGAAGCTAAGATAATAAAAATAAAAAAATGCACTCTACAGGTAGGTTCATGTGGTACTGAATAAAAGTAGAGAAGAACAATACAAGTTCCTAAAGCTGGAGATGGCCAATTAACCGAAGACGAATTTCCTTGATTTTCCCTTTTTGCAATATCCTCCTCGGTCTATTCATTATACAGAGCAATCTATAAGAATTACGTTCAGTCAAGTAGCGTGCAATTTAGCATCATTAAGAAACCGACTTCTTCGCTTTGTCGCCGCTCCGGGACCCGGAGCGAATCGCGGAACATTCAACGCGGATCCCGAGCTTTTCTATGAAGTTTTATCTTTGTTTGTACATGAAACGAACGTCGAAGAAGTATTTAATTAAATTATTTCTATACTAATTAGAAACGCAAGAACACCGAGAAAAGTAATTCCATTAGCTAGGTAATGCATTATTGACGTTCAAATTACGTTTCTAAAGAGGAGGAAACACTGAAAACTTTTGAGGAAATTATACGGAAAGGAAATTGTTTGAAGTGAAATAGGAGCGTAGCTGAATTAAAAGACTTGATTCTAGTAAAAACAGGACTCTTGCTCGAATTGCGTATGGTTAATGGCCATGTTATAGGATAATCACAGGCATTAAAATAAAAGATTTGATAGCATTATTACATCTCGAACCTCTTTACTTTGTGTCATCTTAATTATTATTCTCCTCATCTAGTTGTAATCATTTTTAGTATCGATTAATATCGAGTTTTAGTTGCAATAAAATTTAAGCTTACAAGAGATCAAATATAGGTAATAGAGGTAACGAAATGCCAATAATGCTGTTTATTACTAATTCAATTTAGCATTGTGTAATTAGGAAAATTCCATTGCTAGTAAAATTTATTGCTTCATCCACTGTGTGTACACGGTGACTCCAAACGAATATAAAGTTTAGCTGATATATCTACTATTTGGTGATCGATAATGAATAATAATTAATACCTATTAATTATTTGAATATTTACAACATATTTAATGGGGTTTAATTAAATTCCATTTATGCAAATCGCTAATTTGGGATTTTAACAGTTATTTCGGTTATGAAATAATAGGCCGGCAAATTGCAACAGATTTTGATGGATATCGACGAACTTTTGCGAACTTGTAAAATTGAATATTTTGGATGAATTTCGCGAGTAATAGTTTGCGAAGGGCAATTTCAGATACAACCAAACGAATTATTTTTTTATCAATTCACGGTAGTGCAACTGATCGTAATCGCCTAAGACTGAAAACTGAATTCGGCCACATATATGAACTTCTCGCATCAAATTTCGAATGGATTTCCCGAGGAAAAGCCATTAAAGCGCTGTCACAACTGGTTCTGCTCGCAAAAACGTGACGTCGATAAGTTTGAGTGGATTATCGATTCACTGTTTTTTTAATTTAGAGGGCAAACGCCCAGGTACCTACGTCATGTAAAAAAAACGAATTAATGCTTATATGGAAAATTAAAGTTGAGCCGCGGATTCAACGAATGTTTATCGAATTTACGTTCTGTTATTTATTTTTAGTTATGTTGTTTTGCTTCCTCCTGAAAATTGCTTTTTACCACCCGATTGTCGTTAATCAAAAATATTAATGACCAATTTGGACACCACCCAATCCAGATAAAAATATAAAATGTAAAATAATAGATTCACATCACTACAATTTTATATAAGCGCTTGAAAGATAGCTTTAAAGAGAACTTTAAATTTATTTTGATGCCAAAACGTTGATTACAGGTAATAGGTAATGTACCTACTGTACCAAAGGTGCTCGACATATTTATTTGAACACAAATGAACCGAACAATCCGATTTGGCTGTATAAAACAAATCGAGTGTTTTCGTACCGATGAACCGGAGCTAATTTTCAAAGAGAATTCGTGATTTTCAATGAGCCTTTTTTTAAAAAAAAGCTTTACGGTAAATGGAGCTTTTCTTTTTTCGAGATAGATTGGAATTGGGCGTTTAAGCGTTAGAAATACGGCCGGTTTGAACGTACACAATCATTTTTTGATTGAATCTCATCGAGTCTTAAATATTTGATTGTCCGGGAAAAACCATTTCGATCATAATGCTCACCAAATTTTATATCCCAAAGCTATTCGTTCCCAGAGCTACATATTATTGATTGTTTCTACTAAATTAACGCCGTGTAACTATATTTCAACTTTTGTTTTGCAATGCAAAAATTTTTACAAAACAAAAGGTGAAAATGTAAATCCATCCTGTCGATTTCTATTATACATCGATCTACAAAAAAAAGCCGAAGGGATCCAGAGCTGGCTGGAAACGTTTCCGCTTCGAGTCCCAACTCATCTCATCGCATCACACACGGGCTTCCGAGGAAACGCGGCGAGAGAGACGTGCAGGACGGTCGCTTAAACATCCGATTTTCAGGCCCCTTTGTCAGCTCTTTGTGCACGTGCTCTTTCAAAAATTATCCTTTATTATTACGCCCGATAAACGTGTAAAATACCGTCCCGATGGGTTCGTTAAAAT